CGACTCACCACATGTATGAGCTCCACACATGTTCTAGGATGAAGTGAAAACGCACATCACTATGTTTGCTTCTTTCATGTTTGATCGGATTTTTAGCTAGTTCAATGGCCGACTTGTTATGGGTGAGTGAAAACGCACCGAGTTGTTTCTCCACCGAATTTAGCAAATTTCTAAGCCACACTACATGGCACACACTCTACAATTCTGTTACGTACTCGGCTTCACAGGTTGACAATATTACTATGGGTTGCTTATTCGAAATTCAGGTAAACGTTGTGTTGCCCATAAAGAAAACATACCCTGAAGTTTTTTTTTTATCATCTACATCTCCACACCAGTCATTTCCCGAGTACCAGATAAGTCAGAAAGTATCTGACCTCATGTACAGCAATTTGAGTGATAATGTACCTTGAATATACCTCAAAATTCGTTTCAACGCCTTCTAATTAAAGTGACTCAAATTCTTCATAAACCGACTAACAATTCCAAAACTCAGCATTAAATCGGGTCTAGTACTTGTTAGGTAGTGAAGACTTCCAACTAGGCTCTAATATATACTCGAATCAACTTGGTCTCCTCTATCAAATTTGGAAAGCTTTGTCCCTGGTTCCATGGGAGTTGATACTGAATTGTAATCAGTCATCTTGAACTTATTCAAAATCTTCTTTGCATACACCTCTTGGGACACAAATTATCCCCAACTCCTCTTATCTACTTCTAGACCAAGAAAGAACTTCATTATGCCAAGATCGATCATCTCAAATTCAACTGTCATTGTTTGCTTAAATTCTTGAATCATTCTAAGATTATTTTTCATAATAATGAGATCATCGATATATTGAGTAACAAACATCACATTATCTTCATTCTTTTTCACATATAGAGCATGTTCATGGGGACGTTGTATGAATCCATTCTCCTTGAAGTAGGTATTTATCTAGTTGTTCCATGCTCGATGAGTTTGCTTTAGCCCATAAAGAGCCTTCTTCAGTCGCAACATTTTTTCCTCCTCACTCTTCTTCACATATCCAAGTGGTTGCTCAATATACACCTCCTCCTTGAGCACACTATTCAAGAATGCCAATTTGACATCCATGTGCATGATCGACCATTTGTATTGTACTATTAGAGAGATCAGTAGCCGAACAGTCTTCATTCTTGCTACCGGAGCAAACACCTCGTCCTAGTGTTACCTTCCTTCTCCTTGTAACCCTTTTCAACTAATCGAGCTTTGTGCCTCTCTACCTCTCCTTGTGCATTGAGTTTCTTCTTGAACACCCATTTTACGCCAATAGGCTGAGCATGGCTCGGTAGCTCAGTCAACGCTCAAGTCCAATTCCGATGTATGGCTCGAATCCCATCATCCATGGCAGTTCGTCATTTCTCATCACGCACAGCCTCCTCAAAAATGATGTCGTTGGAATATACTAAAAGACAAACAATATGAACCTCATAAGTCAAATTATATAAGTCTCACAAGCTTCGCATTTTGGTTCGTGGTTCATGGTCGCCCTTGCCTTATGTGTTGTCAACAACTGGTGGTGCAGCAGCTCGACCACCTTCCGATTTGTTAACAATTGGTGGTGTAAATGCTCAGCCTCCTTTCGATTCTCCTCACTTTTACTGATCAGATTTATCAGCTTATAAGTTTTCGATGTCTCAACATAGCAAATGAACACATACTTCTTGTTCTTGTCTTCAAGCTTAGTCTTATGTTGCGATGGAACTACTTCATAGGCAAAATTTTTGAACACTCTAAGTAGGCATGGCAACGGGGCGAGGCAGGGGCAAATTTTGTCTCCCCGATCCTCGCCCCCGACTTTTTTAATCATCTTTGTCCTTGCCCCAAATCCCGCCGGGGTTAGAAATTAAGTCCTCATCCCCGTTCCTGCTGGATTTCGGGTTTCCCACTCTGTCCCGTCCTCGATCTATATTATTTTTAAAAATATAATTATATTTATAATAAATTAATTTTACTATGTATTTTTACATAAAAATAAATATTTATAGTTTTACAATTTATAATTATTATTATTAATTAAATATATTTTAATTTATTATATTTATATAAAATATGTATATAAAAGAAATATTTAATCATTTTTTATTTATTTATATATATATATATATATATATATATATTTATAATAATAATAATAATATTATTATTATTATTATACTGTATTCAAACATTTTATTACATATATAAGTTAATTCATTTTTAAGTTGTCATTTAAAAATACGAAATATGTAATTTATAAGGAAATATTTAATAAATTAATTCTTATTTAATTAGTTCAAAATTATAAAAGTTTAAATTATCAATTCTTTTTAATCCTTTAAAATATAATTATTTTATTAAGATAAAATTTTATATGACAAATAAGAATAATAAGATAAAAAATATGACATAAAAAAACCTAATAAATATAAATTATAAATAAAATAATATTAGTTACTACTAAGATTTATGTAAAATATTTAGAAAAAGATAAAAAAGAAAAAAAATTAACTTTATGTTCATCAAATTGGTTGAAAAGATTGAAAAAAATTGATTGAAGAGATTAAGGAAATGTAAAAGCTGAAAGGTAAGAGAGAGAATAATGTAGTAAACTAATTGATATAAAAGATTAAAAAAGACAAAAAGTTAAAAAGTGGATAGAAGAAAAGTAAAAATGGTGAAATATAAAAAATGACATTATATGTAATATAAAAAGAAAAGAAAATACTTTTAAAATATTAATATTTTAAAATTTAAATTTAAATATAAAATCAGGGCGGGGACGGGGACGGGGACGAGGACGGGGACGGGGTCAGGGTGGGGATTGCATTACTCATCCTCGCCTTCGTCCCCGACTTTTTAAAATGGGGAAAACCCGAACCCGCCCCCGCCTTCGCCCTCGGTCAACTCGAATTTTCCTCGTCAAACTCAGGGCGGGGATGGGTTGGTCCCCACAAATACGGGTTTAATTGTCATCCTTAACTCTAAGAAGAGACACAGTCGGTTTTTATCTACTTCATGCCTCTTATGGTGTTACACCATCTAACTTTGCACGTGTACCTATTCTGCACATAGATAGCACATTTTACTCCTTTTGGCCAAAACTCTGTGGGCATATGATTAGGCTTCAACTTAGCTCGAACCATGTCAAGAACAGTTCGGTTCTTCCTCTCAACTACACAATTTTGTTGTGGTGAGTACAGGACTGTTAGAAATCTCCTTATTCCTTCATCTAAATAATACTTTATGTGAGTTGCCGACATAAACTCTCCTCTCCTCTATCAGGCCAGAATGATCTGATAAGCCACCTAATCACGCTTTCAACCATCTTGTTGAACTTCTTAAACACTTCAAACACCTTGGATTTCTCTTTCAAAAAATATACCCACATCTTTCTAGAAAAATCATCGACAAATGTCATAAAATATTTCTTACCACTGAATGATTCAGAGGTAATCGATCCACATAAATCGGTATGAATAAACTCAAGTTATTTACTTGCTCGGTATTCGCCACTTCTCAAAAAATGAGTCCTTGCCAATTTTTTGAGTTCAAAGTTTTCATAAAATCTTTTTTCACTCTCCACATTCAGCAGTCTAAGCACCATACTTTTATTTGACAGCTCAACAAGTCCACCAAAACTCAGGTGGTCAAACCGATGATGTTAAATCAACGTTATGTCCTCCACGTTGAGTTTTAGACACTTTTCTTGAATGCTCTTTAATTGTAATTTGTATATTCTATTCCTCTCCATCTCGATCTGAGCAACACCTTTCCAAGCTTGTCCCTCAACTGTAGTACTTGGTCTTTTATGAAAATCGAGTATCCCTTCTACATCAATTATCTCATACTCAAATATTGCTTTTGAGATCATGAAAAAATACATATCTTGGATCGTCTCAATTAGTCCATTCATCCTTCTACAAATAGTCGATCGTTCCTCGGCCTTTTACCGAGACTCTCAAAGTGTCTCCAAACGACACATTACCATCATTTGTCCTCTTTAGTTCTTAAAAAAAAACGTTCATCATCAGACATATGATTACTTACCCCTATATCCAAATACCATATAGAGATCAGTTTCTGACCAAACTCCATCACTGTAATATGCTTCCCAAATGTATCATTGCGTTGTGATGGACATTTGCATACGTGCCATACTTCTTCTTTTTCGTCACCTCGGTCATCTCAGACACGTCTGTCAGATCATCCACCTCGAGCTCGACCACCACGTCCTTGTCCTCCTTCTTTATTCTTTTGATAATAAAACCTCATCTCCTTGGTCTAGAACAATTCCACAATTGTCTCCTATTCTTTTTCTTCATTTGGTGTTCATAGACGTCAAGAGAAGCGATCAACTCTTTTATTATAAGTTCGGACAAGTATTTTATTTGTTATCGTGCACATTATGTGACCAACTCTTTTATTGCTCTATCGTACACACTACATTCTTAAAGTGAGTGCATACTATGATCTTAAAGTTACTCCCAATATCTATTCGAAAATTTATCTAATTTCTTTATTCTCATATTCTTTATCTCACATAATATGTATCATCGAAATCATGTGACTCGATTATCTTTCTTCGATTATCTTTCTTGTAGTTCTTATCGTGTGATTCGATTATCTTTCGTGTATTCTTCTCAAACATGTAGGTTTAAGTGTCTTATTCATGTAATTGGATTATCTTCCTTGTATTCCTTCTCAAACATGTTCCTCTTTAAGAACTTTTTTAAGTGTCTCTTTTAAGAGTTTTAATAGTATTACCCTTTGGTAGTTTCTTATTCTTCATAGTCATTCTTTGCTGTATCCCAACAATCTCAGGTGAGGAAGGCCTCTGGCTATCATAATTATGTTCTTCGTCGTAACTATTGGAACTCTTCCAAAACTTAAAAGAGCTCTTCTTCCATATAAACCAACTATTTAGAATCCAGTATAAAATGTTATCCTACTATTAATTTTATCTCAACATTCAGTCCTCGGCTCCTTGCACACCCTACTATAAAGGACCGCGATCGAGAGGCGCCACCGCTAGCAAGACCAGAACCGAAAGGGAGACTGCGGGTGAGGGATTTTGGGGCCGCTGGCGGTGGAGGCGAGGAAGTGATGTGGTTGGGATGGGGCCCAGAGGTGAGGGAGTGGTTCGGTGACTGGGAGGGTGCCACGCGGTGGCTGGGGAGAGGGTGAGTGAAGGGCGAGCGAGAGGGTGAACTGGAAGAATGAGTCGTGGTTGAGTGAAGTAAGCTAGGGGAACAGATTTGGGGTCAGGTGCAGGTGAGTAGCCAGAGAGTGTGTCGTGAGGGGAGTCGAGGTGATGGTGGGGGTGGGGGTGGGGGTGGGGGTGATGGGGTGTGCCGAAGGAGAAGGAAAAGGGAATTTGGCTGCAACGGGTCTGCAAAGGTTAGGGTAGCTATGTGAGTGAAGGAAAGCAGAAAATGATAATGGGGAAAGTGGTGTGTGCTCCCAGATGAGTGCGAGGGAGAAGGCTGGTTTGGGTATTGGGGATGAGGAAGGGGCGTCAGGGCCCTGATTTTGGGAGTGAAGGTGCAGGGAGAGAGTGAGCGTGAGTGGGTGTATTTGGCCATTCTCCTTAAAAAGATGAATTTAGGGTAAAATTAGGACACCTTCTTTATTAGATGGGGTGGGCCTCAAAAAAATCGTACTCTTTATTTTATTTTTAAAATTTTTTTTTATTCTTTTTTCTCAAATATTTTCATTTCCTTTTTTCTTTTTTTAAATTTATTTATAATTTTTTTCTTTTTCTTTTTTTAATTATTATTATTATTATTATTATTATTATTATTTTAAGTAAAATATTAAAAATGAAATTATTCTCATTTTAATCTTATTTTTTTCATTTTTTTCATATTTTCAAAATAAATGCTACTATTTATTATTATTATTTATTTTTTAATATTTTGTATATCTATCTAGATGAAATTGAGTGTTGATAGTTATGTTTGGAAATAGGAGGTAATAAAGACAACCACAAACACGAAGATAGGAAAATATTGTATTTTTACAATAAATGATTTCTATAGGAAATGATGTCCTAAAACTTTAATGGAAAGAATGTTTAGTAACTAAGTGGTCGTTTGAAGAGCATGTCCTAAAAGAAAAGTGAATGAATGAGTGTGCTAATAATATTTTTAATGAATTTAATATGTTGTTCAGTTTTGTCATTTTGAAGAGAAATGTGAGGGCAAGATAACTTAAATTGCATTTCATTTTGTTCACAAAATTTTTTAAACAATTATTAACACATTCCTTTCCATTATTACATTGCAAATTTGTAATGTTTCTTTCAAATTAAGTGTTAATTAGATTTTGGAAAGATTGAAAAATTGAATAAACTTGTGATTTTTTTTGAAATGGGAAAAGTCCACAAAAATTTGCTAAAATCATCAAGAAATAATAGGGGTGATGTCCAAATATCACTAAAAGAATAAGAGGCATTAAATGGTGATTTCATAAGTTTACTAAGAAAATAAGAAGTGCAAAAATCATGATTGTCTTTATTACAATTTATGAAATTTTGACATCTAAGAGAGTTTAGAATAGTAACTCCTTGATGACCTAAAGATTGTGTCATATAAAGTGGAAGACAAAGTTGTAAATGTTGAGAGAATTGTTGGTGGAGAGATTGTCTGATAGTTGGAACATAAGGGATAGAGATCTCCAAAGCTATTATATCTCATTAGATGGTTCCCCGTTTGCAAATTCTTCACTGAGAACCCAAAAGGATCAAATTTAATAGAAACCAGCTTATCAATGGTAAATTTACGAACATATATGAGGTTTTTGATGAGTTTTTGTGCATGTAACACATTGTTTAGGTTTAAAGGAGGGTGGGGTGGGGATAGTGTAGTGCTTCCATGACCACAAATAGAAATCAAATAATCATTATCAACAATAATATTGTGATATTTGCTCGAATCAAAATAAGATGAGAGCGTACTTTGATTTGTCATTATATGAGAGATAACACCAATGTTTATATACCAATTCTCATCGGGTTGAGAGATTGTAAAAGTATGCATGGTCGCATTAATATTCATAGGTGTGTCTCTAATATTAGATGGTGCTACTCATGTGTTGTTAGTTTGTTATGGTGGTCGTGGTCCAAGAATACCTACTTGTCATGGAGGTCTAGGTTGTCATGAAGCTACCGGATAAGGGCATGGAGGTTTGGTCCATCTAATCCAAGGATTAAGGAAGGGATGTTGATATGGTGGGAAGAGTTGATATTACGAGTATTGTGATAGTTGCTATGGTACACTATTTTTTCCAACACCTGCACCATTGCCACGTTTGCCTCTGTCACCGCTGGTGTTGTTGCCTTTGCCTCGGTTGATTTTCTTGCCGCGATTGGTACTATGACGACCCTAAGAATTATTAGTATTATTGTGATGTCATTGTAACTGTGAAATAGGTCCTAATGTTTTTGTTATCTTGAAATAAATTAGTTACACGCTGTCCAGCTTTAGCAGCCGAATCATCAGTCATAAATATTGATGTGAGAATATAAGGAGATACAGTAGTACATATGCACATATATGCACCGAAATGTAGGAAATCATAAGTGATCTACCTCTTTATTGATTAGGAATATATACTAAATACAAACTATAATTTAGACTATCATTACAATTGACAAGCTATAATATAAGTTAATCTTTAGAAAATTATTACTACAAAATATTCTAAATAACAACTTATTTACCTTAATAATATCATTCAACATTAAGATAGATACATTAAAAGTTAGCAAGGTGCTTACATGATCAACAAGGTTGTATTGCTTTCCATGATATCGTCCTCTGTTTTTCTTCCCATATATTATCTCCAGCAGTAAAACACCAAAGCTGAATACATCAGATTTTACAGAAAATTGTCCATCAACAGCATACTCTGGTGCCATGTACCCACTGAAATAAACCATTATGAAAGAAAAAACAAATTACATGACTTGTCCGTAAAAGAAAAAAGGTTGAACATTTAGTCACTCACAATGTTCCAACTATTTTATTTGTGTTTCCTTCAACCTCCTCTCTTCCAACAGTTTTAGCCAATCCAAAATCTGATATTTTTGGATTGAAACCATCATCTAGTAGAACATTACTCCCTTTGAGGTCTCTGTGGACAATCCTTAGTCGAGAATCTTGATGAAGATACATAAGCCCTCGAGCAACTCCACAAATTATGCAGAAACGCTTTGGCCAGTCAAGTGATTTACCTTTGGTTTGATCTGTGTTTCACAGCAAATCTAATTAAAAAATGAATATTCTTGCTTGAGAAGCTTCTATCTATCACTGTAGTCATAAAACACTAGTTAGTACTGATATAAGATATCTTGATATTCCATACCAAAAATGAAGTAATCTAGGCTGCCATTAGACATGTATTCATAAACCAATATTTTTTCTTGCTTCTGAATGCAACAGCCCAGAAGCTTTACAAGATTCCGGTGCTGAAGTTTTGCAATGAGTTTAACTTCATTTAAAAATTCGGTTATTCCTTGTCCTGAGTTCTGCGAAAGTCTCTTTACAGCAATTTCTAGCCCACTAGCTAATTTTCCCTGCAAATCACATTCATGTGAGGAGAGACTCTTCATAATATTAATGATTCTCTAATTGCTTTTTGTTTCTAAAATTCTCCTTATAATATTAAAAATTCTCTAATTTAGTATCCTAATATTAAAATTCACCAAAAAAATATATTAAATTACCCAATATACTGGTCCAAAACCACCTTCTCCAATCTTATTCACGTCTGAGAAATTATCAGTGGCAGCCGTAATTATTGACAAATCAATTAATGGGAGATCCAAATCATCCACATATGTTTCACATCTATTTTCTGGCTTTGACTTCCCTGAAAATGTGTAGAAGTGCTTTAGCAATACTAATTAGAAAGAATTGACCATGGAATTGACAAGAATTACCATTTAATACACGAAAGTAAGAATCATCCACCCTTCATTTAAAAAAAAAACGAACAAATTTATTAGATTGTTTTTTCATTGACATAGTTTATCATTGTTCTAAAGTTTCGTGAGATTGATTTGACTCAATCAGAAAATTAGTAAAATTTTGCCAAAGATTGTTGAACCCTTTTGTTAAAATATTAATTTTTTAGGCTGGATTCACTTTTACTTGCTCATTTTACACATTTTATCGCTTCAACAAATCCTTTACAAAGAACTATTCAGCCTATTTTTAAGTGAGAAGTGAGAGAAAAGGAAATTTTACCATTAATGTTCCTCCAGATTCTGCAGATGAAATAAATACCAAGTAAAAGAATTCCTGAGGCCCCGGTAATGGTGGTTACGAGTATTATTTTAGACTTCCTTCCCCTGATAGCATCTTGATGGTTGAATTTGATCAAACAAAACAACAACGGATAAATTCCATATAGAAGGATCAAGCTTAAATTCTCAGAAAACAAGAGGTGAGAAGAACAATGAAAAATGGTTTAACTGGAAAATTTAATGAAGCATTTACCTAATTCTGAAGCAGGCAACCGGATATATAGACCCTGCCCATTTTCAGGAGCTGGATACTGTTTGATGTCAAACAAATCACCAAACCACATCACACAACCACTTCCAGCTCCCCTTATATCAGAATTTGTATATGCCATGCAGGAGCAATAATTCAAGCATTTGGTTTTGCATTGCTCTAGATTAATACTCTCATCTACGGACGTATCTTTAGTGTCCGGCACTTTCAAGCCTTCCACTAGGACAAACCCATCATTCTTGCAATTCAAAGGATGTTTAAGGACACATCCTTGAGACCAATCAGTTGAGGTCCAGTTTTCAGGGGACTTAGGCTCGAACCCTTTTAAACATGCACACATTGGTGATGCATAAGTGCTGCAATATGCGTTAGATCCACATACGCCATAATGATCACAGTAATCTTCTGGCATGGTTGAATAATGATTCCATGCTTTGTCAGTGTCTGACCATACATAACGAGGACGCTCTAGTGTGGTTTGGTTAACTACAGCTATTGTTACTACACTAGTATTCTTGAGGGTCCATGTGAAATAAACCTCTTTCTTGTTGGAGACAAACTCGTAATTGTAAATGCGATTATCCTTCATTTGCGGCCTGCCACTGAAACGCAAACCATTCCATGGTCCAACTCTGTGGTACTTTTTGGTTCCCTTCATGATATACATCTCAGGATAAGGGTTCAGTGTTACGCCCCAAGTTAAGTCTCCTGGTGTGGGATCATCATCATTCTTCCAAGCTATGAGGCGCTTATTAAGATTTCTATTTTGGTCCCATCCAATCTTCATTCCTGCCACCATTGTATTAGAAGGGTAATCAAAGCTTTGCCACATATATTCCTCTTGATTTACGGCATTCTGGTCTCTTATTACAAGATTGCCGGAATCCAAAAGCACTGCCACTGGATTCTGTGATTCTTCTGGAGAACTTGTGCACCAAACAACCATGTCGTTGTGTGTAAGGACCAAGTTCCCAGAACTGCTTAGTTTCAAGATGCAAGAGGAATCATTGATAGGATTGGCACCGTTTGCGACCCAAACAACGTTTCGAAACGGAATATTCTTGTACCAAATCCCAAGGTAGATTTTGTTGGGATTTCCGAGATTGAAGAAACCAAGCACAAAGGTTCCAAGTGGGGAAGAAACAATGGTCTTTTCATGACTTAGGGGCTGGGACTGCGAAATGGATGATGTGTCTTCAACTGCGAAAACAAGAGAAGGGATGACCAGTATACGAAGTATAACACTAATCAGAGTAAGAAGAACAAACTTCATTGAGTACTAAATTTGACAGTTAGAGCATAAAGCATGAGCAATAATAGAAAAGGAGTCAAACTTGTGTGCGAAGTATAATGTAAAGCATCTATAAATGTAAATGTTCTAAGCTTTTCAGTAGAATTTTCTGTGGACTCTTGTATTTCGTGTTTTACGGGTTTTGTTTGCTTCTATGAATGTGGCTAGAAGGACCAGTGTTTAGTTTAGTCAACTGTTACTCTCAGTCAATTTCACGTAAACTTGTTGAGACATCTGAAAAATACTGAGATAGAAAGCTGAATTTTGGTGCTTATAAGGGGGACCACTTGCGATATTGGTCCACGGAACTCATCCATCATAACCGGATTCTCTTTGAATATTCTCAAGTATTTGAGCGCGTTATACTATTTTATTAAATAATTTAATAGTGTTGATAAAATCATCTTATTTTTAAAAAGAAAATCAAATTAAATTAATATTAAAAATAATAATTGAATGAAATAAAAAATAATAATAGAATTAAAGCAGTTATTTAACAACGTTTATAACTATTTTTACCTTGATTCTTAGGCAAGATTTTTTCAAATACTCATAGTTATAACTATTGTTTTCTATTTAGCCCATTATCTATATGCAAATCATTTAAAAGAAAAAAAAAAAGTAATTTTAAGGTACTAATTGTATAAATAAAATGAAAATGTCAAGGCTCCATAAATTCTCATTTTCTTACTTACTTGATCTTAGTAACGTTATTTTTCTTGTGTGGTAGAAAATTTGTCGCACTTCACAGCGCCGCCATGTTCTTGGCGCACATAAAAGTTTAGCCTTTAATCAAATTGAATTGTGTTATTCTTGTAACAAATCTCAATAAGGTTTTCGTTGTTGTTTGCCTCTTGGGTGTTGAGCATTGCATTAGTGTCCATAATTGAGAAGTTTATTGATTGATTCTTCTCTTTTTTTTCATTAATCATAATCTGTGTTTAATTATATGATGAAATATGAAGTTAGATGTATATCATTATTTGGGTGCAAAGTTTAAGTAGCTTATCATATGCTAGGGGCGGAAAGTCTTAGTAGGGTTAAACACAATTTTGGTTAGTTTACATGAATTTGAATTAGGATTATTTTAAGTTAATGATACTTGATGCTATTTTTCAATCATTGATTATATCTAATTTATTGAAGCCTTTCTTAACCATCATTAAAAGGATTATATCTATTTCTAGCATTTTTTTTTTCCACAATCATAAACATAATTAATTACTCGTATGTTCGCTCTTATACTGACTATTTTCAAGCCTTTCATCTTATTTGTTAGAAGGAATAAGAAAAGTGTAACCCTGCAATAATGTATCCGTAAGGAGTGGGTTAGTTTCCTGGCAAGGACAAAAATTAAAGAGTGATGATGATACATGTACGATCACATTTAAACAAAATATCTATTAATATAATAATTATAAGTAGATGAAAATGAATATTATATTATTAAATGAGACTGTCTTAATAGTTACTTTGGAAAAGAAGGTGGATCAATCTTTTTCCAAAACTAAATTATTATGTACCTTGCAGTTTGACTATAGCTAAGTGGGAGAAGGAGGCACCATAGTTTTGGCTCATCCGATATTGTGCATTGTAGAGTGTGTTTTCACTTAGCTGAATCCGTAGGATCAGTATCCAAATAACCTGCTATTTGGAGTTGGGGGAAAGAGCATCATGAACAGAAACATTAGTCTGCCAATATTTTCTTTCACGATTATTGTTGGTTACATGCTTCTTGATCCCTCTTTCAAAATTTCCGCAGCTATCCTCAGTGTGTCACAGTCTATCAGTGAGGGTGAGACCTTAGTGTCCAACGAAGGAGTGTTTGAGCTTGGTTTCTTCACCCCGGGGGACTCCAAAAACCGTTACCTGGGAATTTGGTATAAAAATATTCCCTTTGACAGAGTTGTTTGGGTCGCAAACGGGGCAAACCCCATCAGCGATTCCTCGGCAGGGACCTTAAAATTCACCAGCACAGGCCTTGAGCTCAGAGGAAACGCCACGATTGTTTGGTCTACAATCAATAAAAAACAAGCACTGGATCCAGTGGCAGAGATCTTGGACAATGGCAATTTTGTGGTGAGGAACAAGGGAGACACAGACCCAGAAGAGTTCTTGTGGCAAAGCTTTGACTATCCTTCGGATACACTTTTACCTGGGATGAAGTTGGGATGGAACCTCCTAACAGGTCTGGAAAGGAAAATAACATGCTGGAAGAGTCCAAATGATCCATCCCCAGGAGATTTTTCTTGGGGTCTAAGGCTCAATAGTTATCCCGAGTTTTATCTCAAGAAAGGAACATCGAAGTTCCACCGCACCGGACCTTGGAATGGACTTCAATTTAGTGGTGCATCTGTTAGAAACCCAAATCAGCTGTACGAATTCAGCTACGTCTCCAACAATGATCCCGTGTATCCCTCCAATAAGGTTGAGATGTTCTCTTCGTATACCGTCAAGGATAGTTCTGTCATCGTGCGAGTCAAACTAAACGAAAGCAATCTCCAAACCCATGTATGGATAGAGGGAGTGAAAATATGGAGAATATATACAACTACCCCTGCTGACTCTTGTGATATGTATGGGTTATGTGGAGCCAACGGGATTTGCAGCAGTAAATATGCACCATTTTGTCGATGTTTAGAAGGATTCAGACCAAATTCGCAACAAGAATGGAGTACAATGAATTGGGTCCAAGGATGTGTCCACAATATATCATTAAACTGTGCATACGATCGGTTTGTGAAATTTGAAGGGCTGAAAGTTCCAGAAACTACATATACTTTGTTGGATGAGAGTATTGATCTAGAGTTATGCAGAGAGAAGTGCTTAAATAATTGTACTTGCATGGCCTATGCTAATTCGGACATAAGAGGTGCTGGTAGTGGTTGTGTCATGTGGTTTGGAGATCTCATTGACATCAGGGAGTTTGAAATTGGCGGGCAAGCTCTATATATCCGGATGGGTGATCCGGGATATGGTATAGCGACTCCTAAATACTTCCATCATTCTTTTTATTTTGAAAAACACAAAATCATTCTTTAGATCTGAGATTTAGTTTCATATTCTTCCTGTTTCGATGTTTGATTGATGTCAACCAAGAAGAGCAACATGCACACAACAAAGCACAGACGATCATAATTGCTACCACAATTGCTGCAATTAGTGGGACACTTTCCTTTTGCATTTTGATCATATTCAGAGTCCGAAGGAGCATTACTGGTAAATTATTGATCCCATACTACTGTCACTGAAGTCATGACAGCTTCTCTCTCTCTCTAAATATATATGCATATTGAAAATTGGAAATACTTCAAATTATTAGGATGGGTACTCATAGGTTACGGAATTTGAGTAGAGGTGGTTTTTAACATGGCATTGAATATTATGGGTTTAACAACGAAGCCTCAACTCCTTACGGATGAGTGAAATTGGGTTCACTAAATATATCTTATTTTTTGCTTCTCTAATTGAATTTGGCATATATATATATATATATATATATTGAAAATAGTTCTAATCCCTTTCTTCCGTCTCCAGATAAGACAAAGACAGAAGATTACATCAAAAAGCAGATAGAAGATCTGGATCTGCAATTGTTTAATCTGCTAACAATCACTACTGCTACTAACAATTTTTCGTTGAATAATAAAATTGGACAAGGTGGTTTTGGACCTGTATATAAGGTAATTAAATATCTATTCACCTAACAGAAAAAAGAAATAGTCAAGAATTGAGTTAGTAATGATATAGAAAACTTCTACTCAAATGAACGCAATTATGCAGGGAAAATTGATGGGTGGGAAAGAAATTGCAGTGAAAAGGCTTTCAAGTAGCTCTGGACAAGGAATAACTGAGTTCATTACAGAAGTAAAACTTATTGCAAAACTTCAACACCGAAATCTTGTAAAGCTCCTTGGCTTTTGCATTAAAGGGAAAGAAAAATTACTAGTATATGAATATATGGTTAATGGCAGCCTAGATACCTTCATATTTGGTATGTAATATGAAGAATGCTTAGATTAGATGCAGTTGTGTTATTATTTTTTCAACTCAGGCACATTTACCGGGGTATTAATCTTGAATGATATATCTGCTTTGCAAAATAAAAACAGATAGAACGGAAGGTAAATTTCTGGATTGGCCTCGTCGCTTCCACGTAATATTTGGAATAGCCAGGGGCCTTTTGTATCTTCATCAAGATTCCAGATTAAGGATTATTCATAGAGATCTCAAAGCAAGTAATGTTTTACTGGATGACAAGTTAAATCCTAAAATTTCAGATTTTGGAATGGCTAGAGCTTTTGGAGGAGATCAGACTGAAGGAAACACAAACAGAGTTGTTGGGACATAGTGAGTGTCTGTCTAGATATATTACAATTGGTTTACTTTTGTGTCATTGAAAATTTTTTGCTGTAACTATTTCTTGCAGTGGATACATGGCTCCAGAGTATGCTGTTGATGGACTATTTTCAATCAAATCTGACGTTTTCAGCTTTGGTATTTTACTGTTGGAAATTATATGTGGGAACAAAAATAGAGCTCTTTGTCATGGAAACCACACTCTGAACCTTGTTGGTTATGTAAGCGCCGAAATATCTTACTATTTATATATGCTGAAGTTTAAACATGAATGTATAACTTTTTTTCCTTCCTTTATGCTCAGGCATGGACACTTTGGAAAGAGAAAACTGCTGCAAATTTGATTGACTCAAGCATGAAGGACTCGTTGGTCATCTCAGAAGTACTGCAATGCATCCATGTCAGTCTCTTGTGTGTGCAACAATACCCGGAGGATAGGCCCACAATGGCAACAGTAATTCAAATGTTAGGGAGGGAGACAGATCTGGTTGAGCCGAAAGAGCCTGGTTTTTTTCCAAGAAGCATTTCGGATGAAGGAAAATCAAACACAAACCTAAATCAAGTGTCTTCAAATGATGAATTAACCATTACCTCATTAAATGGCCGGTGAAAATTAACGAGTCACCAACATATATTTAATCTTAAAATGTCCATGAAGGATTCAGGAGTATTCATTTTCATATAACAAGTTCATCTTATAACAAGTTCATATTAACTTAAAATTTTCTGTATCTTGTTTCTTACCATTAAAATTATATTGATTTGTCAGTTTCCTTTTTTTATAGATCTAAATCAACGTTTTGTCCCAATCATTGACTGGTCTAATTTAAAAAAAAAACACTGCATGTTAGTCATCAGAGTCCTATTGAGAGACCCTATTCTATAACCTCCATATAAATACCAATTTCTAGTGCCCCAAATCACTGACATCCCAACTGTGAGCAATCACAACCAAATACTACCATTTGTTCCCTTCAAAGAAACCACCCAACAACTCGTGTCTGGAGAACCACCATCAGCTCCTTGCTACTATCCTTTCTACCACAACCCAAATTTATCAATCACTTCTCATTGGTTGTGGAATTTAAAAAACAAAATGAAATCACCATGGAGGTGTATTGATTTAAGCTGGCATCACCCTTTGACACCGCACAAATTCATCTCATACTATTACCACCTTGGTTTGTGGTGTTCATTCAAAAAGTTGAAACCATTTTTTGCATAATAGTTTCAAGTTGCATAACACTACAGATTTGGGGAATAGATGTGGGCGTTCTTTCGGTTATGGATGGGGCTTTATTTGGCAAATGAGTTTGTTATTGGTGATTTTTGTGATTCTGAATGATATATTACGTTAAAAGCTATTAAATCTAGTTCTGGCCTTTAAATTTTAAATCAGTTTATTCATTGTCTCAAGATTTACAATTAATCTCTTACTTTGCAATTTAAAAAACTCATTTTAATCTTCCTGTCTTAAATACTTTTAAGTTTATTGCTTATATGACTAATGAATTACAAGTGAGTATCAAATCGTGTAAATAATAAAACAAAAAGTAAAATTATATTTATATATACACTTGTGTAATAATTAAGTAATTGATTTATAAATTACAAAATTTGGACCATTGATAGAAGTGCTTAATTTTTCATGAAATAAATCATTTTAATTGCTCACATAAACTTATTTTTTTTATTTTCATATATTTGGACAATTGGATAGTATATATATATAAAGGTATGTGAAGAGAGTATAAAATACCATATTTTATGTTTTTTTTTATTGATTCATTAATATTTAAATTAAAACTTTCATATATTTTTATGGATTATATTAATTAATTTTTGGAAATAATATATGAAAAAATGAGTATTGAATAATGTAAAGATTTTTTTTTTAAATAAACCAATAAAAATAAATCAAACACACAAATTTTACATTTTATCTTGACACCATTATATTAGGGATGGCAAAACGGGTCAACTGGTCTCGTTTTGGCCCGCCCGCCTTTGGCCGCCAAAAGCGGGACGGGTTAGCCCGATATAGTCATGACGGTCGTAGACCTTGGCCGCCCCACCAAGGAGGGTTTGGCGGGCTGACGGTTGACCAGCCATAATTTAGAAAAAAATAAATTTTTTTAATAAATTTTATAATAAAATTATTATTTGTTTATCAATAATTCAATATATATATATATATATATATATATTATTTCAATTTAATAATATAAATCAATACATTATTTTAAGAAATTATAATTTAGAACAATAATAAAATTTACATAATAATAAATAATAACAAATATATATATATATATAAATAACGTTGTACTTATAAAATTTATATTTTTTATATTGAAAAATTCAAATACATGTATCTTTTTCATTTGATAAAACTTCATATTATTCTTGGTTGAGTAATTCTTACACCTTTAATTCAAATAATAAGGATAAAAATAATCGAGTGTTTAGGATAGACAAAGAGAATAGGAAAGAAGGTTATGTTTCAGGAGAATATTTTACTGTGAGAATAAAACTTTTTTAATTCTCTTTTTAAAAATTTTAACTTTATATATTATCTTTATAATTAATTTTATTACAATAAAAATTTATTTTTTTATTAATTAGGTGGGTCGTAGGCTGGCCCGCTCCCATCCCGCAGGTTGGCCCGACGGATTGACAGGCTTGACAGAGCAGGCCAAAACGGGCTAGTGGACTGAAAACACCAACCCGACCTGTCATATCATGATGGGCTGGACCAACCCGCCGGACCTAGCTCATTTTGTCATCTACATTATATAGTTTTAGAAACTAAATCTACTGTTATATATAATGTTTGATTGTATATTTATTATGCTTTTGAAAATCGTAATTTTCTGAAATAAATATTCTGAAAACAAAAGCACAACAAAGATATTTTCTCCTCATCTTCTAAGTAGGACACTTTCAAATACATTTCAGAAAAAAAAAAAAAAAAATCAAATGTGGTTGTCTTTAGCACATAAGGTCATGCAAAAGTACTATACGCTTGGACCTGATCCAACACGTGGCCCAATTGTGACCGGCAACCTGCTGACCATATCCCTGAATCATGAGAACAGCTTGAGAGAGGGAACAGACTGGTGAATGGTATTTGGGAGTTGCCGGTGGACACTGGTCCATGTGTTTGAAATGATATTAAAGAGAAACAGTTAAGTTGGGGGTCCATGGTAGGGTCACGTCATCATTGTGGCTTGAAGATTTACTAAACCTCACTGTTCACATTTTTTTTTTTTTTTAGTTTTCGTCAAAACCACGCAAACGATTCTCATCTATTGTTGTTTTTCTTTTCTTTTCTTTTTTTCCTCACATTCTAAATCTTAACCTTTCACTAAATTTTATAATATTGTCTAAATGTATCATTTAAACGAATTCGTATAGATGAAGACAAATTTATTAATGTCGTAGATAAATTGTAGACGTAATTTTATTTTGTTGAAAAAAATAATAATTTAGGTACAGTTATACAATTTGTAGATAAAATTAAATTTCAAAACCAAAAAAATATATAGAAAAAATATACATTATATATGCTATATTTTCAAGAATTACTAACATTAAAATTTTAAATAATTCATGACAATACAGTAAAATTTTAAATGAAATCAGTTCATTATATATGAGGTTTTATATAATATTATAAAAAATTTAAGATACAAATTAAATAAAGTTAAGAATAATTAAAAATTAAAATTATGTAAAATAAAATTCAGAAACCAAAATTATAGATAATTGAAAATTAAAATTAAAATTTCTGAAAAAATATTTAGATGCCAAATTAATTAAACTTGCGAATATTCAAACACCAAAAGGAACTAACGTCAACAAAATAAAAGGTCAAAAATTTAGATTTTGTGAAATATAACAACAAAAATTATAAAATTAAGCTAAATAACGATTATATGTATCATAAATATCTTTATTATATACAATATATAAATTATTGTTTTTAAAATTTATTTATTTATTTTTAAAAAGTACTTCGGAAATTAATTGCGTTTTTTTATGCTTTGTCAAAAAGAAAAGAAATAGACGACAGACAAACAAAATAAAATAAGTGTGTTATTTGAAGAAATTTTTATTTATATTTTATTGTATAATGTTTGGATAAGTAGAAACGACAACTATGGAAAAAAAAAACATTAAAACTGTTTTCAAGTTTTTTATTTTCATTATTTTCTTTTAACATATATTTTTCATTTATATATATTTTTATTTAAGAAAATAAACTGGCGGCGGTATTTTCCACTTATTTTTTTCAACTCTTTTGCATAGAAATGAAATTAAATAACATTACAAGAACTATCAACTTTCTAATACATCAATTAATTTATTATGATATATCTCAATTAGACCTGATTCAAAAATTGACAACATATAAAAATTAAGTCCATTTTAAAGAGATTTTCTCTTAACCACAAATTTTCTTTCATTTATTTGTTTAAGGGACCAAGTACTACTCAAAACAATAATATTACTAAGAAATATTCAACTCCTCTCTACTTTCTTCTCCTTGTTTCTTACCACCAGATATTAAAAAAATAAAATATCTATATATCTTTTCAATTAGAAGCAATGGTTAACCTAATATGATGAATTGCATGCTACACCATATTATGAACAAGAATTTAAAGAATTGAGTTGCCATTTGTTTTAGTAGAAAGAAGAGACAAGAAAGAAAGAAAAAAAAGTAGAAGGAAAATGCTTTGAAGGTAGTGTGGCCCCAACACTTAATGATAAAAACTTTAACAACCTAGTCTTTCCATATGTATTACTATCTCCATGAAAACCACATGGTTTTGAGATATATATATCCCCTAATTATCCATGCAAGTTGCAGACACACACAATGACTAGTCATAACCACACAACGTTTGTCCAGCATATGACAGAAACGTCTCACCAAGTTCCCGCAATTGCTGCTACATTGCCTCTTCCCCTTCAGATCATTCATATCCATGTTTTTCTGGATCACTCTCCAATTCAACCATATTATGCTGTGAAAGAGGAACATGATCGATCCTGTATCATAAATACCTTAATGGTTGTATACAAAAGTGAAAGTAACTTTTGGCACAATAGTGTATACCACCACCAACCTGCATATCTAGGGCTAACTTTAAAGGGTCTAAAACTAAGTAAAAATATAAGGACTTTTCAAAACATTGTATCCATATGCATCTGTAGAATGTTTATCTAAGAAGATAAACTCAATCCTTTTCATATCCTATTGAATCATGGAGCATCTTTCTTATAAAATCATGTGTATTATCAAGAAGAATCTATCATCATTTAAAATAATAATTCATTTTAACTATTAAATTAAAAAATAAATAATAAAAGTAAAAACTAAATTTCTAAATATATTTCTTTTGAGATAAATATATACTTCATATTATTTTATTGATGATAAAGATTTAATTAAAAAAAAGTGTTTAATCTCTAGTAATAAAAATAATAAAAGCAACCAAGTGCATCTATATTCGTAAACAATGAAGGTTCGCAATTATCTGGGGGTGGGTCCGTTAGATTTGAAAGATTCACATTCGCAATTGAAATAGTAAATAAACAAACCCATACATACTTATCAAGAAATTAAACTAATCCACGGGTAAGTTAACTTTAAAGACATGATAATTATTTAATTAAATCTAGCATTTATTTTTTTTTTTCAGAAGACCTAAATATAAAATATTTAAATTATAATAAGCACTTATAATAAACACATTTAATGTCATTTTGTAAACGTAACCGAAAGCAATATACTTACTTACTTGTAAACGAATTGAATAATTTGAGAGTTAGTAACAGAATTGAAAAGTCGTAAATGACCGTTTCACCCCCGAATGAGTAAGAGAATTGAAAAGTTTTGTGACTTTCACTGTGTCCCTCTGAGCGTTACAATGAAGTTACGAAAACACCCTTTTTCATCTAACCATGGTTAATTGGTGTCCCTCCATGATTATGTGTTGCTTTGTATGTTAGTCTTGATTATGGTTTCTTAATGCACCTACTTTGGCTCTGGTGATTCATAATATCCTCCCTCTGTCAACTTCCATCCATTTCCATGATGCAACCCCAACTAAACAAACAAGAGTGCCAGTTCAGATCATTGGGCCACAATCAATTATTAATGCCCATTATTGTTATTCCTATTTTCTCTCATTCTCACTCTCCAATTCTCTTTCTATTTTCTAACCTATCTTTTCAATTCTTCATACCTTTTTTTTTATCCATTTAAACTTTAGACCTAATGTATAATTTGAGCTACTATTAAGAAATTTAAAACATTTTCCAAAAAAAAATATGGATTTTTAAATTTACAGACTAAAATTGAAGAAAATAATAAGAAAAAAAAAAATCGAAGTCCCACATAAAACATAAACAGTGCCAATACATTTTCTTAACTTTCACACCTTTTATTTAGTTAAAAATCTGGATTACTTTTATCCCACGAATAACATAATTATGTTCCGTATTATCATGTGAAGCTTTTGTATTGTCACGCTTTTTTTTTTTTAATTATTAGCTTAAAATGTTTTTATTAGAAAATTAAGTTAAAATGGTAACTTAATGACACTTGTTTTATCTATTTGAATTTCTAAATAAATAACGATTATGATTACCTATTTTGGACATAAAAATCAATTATTAATCGTATTACAAGGTATTCTGTATATATTCACAAAACAAAACACAATAATATAGTATTTTCGTCTTCTTCAATTCTATTTTAAAAGAAGTTACTTTTCACACACAAGATGGTTCAATATGCATTAAAACTGCGATCTTTCATTATAAATTAACTGAACAGTTTTTTAAAATAAATATAAATTTATTTGAATAATGTTATTTTTCATTTTTAAGGTGAAAATTAATATTTATTAAATTATCATAATTAACTTTGTTAAACAGATTTAATTGATAGTAAAGTTAATTTATTTCATCTTTATTAAATCATTATTTATTTTAATTTTAATTTTATTAAATTTCGCTTTCCACTAAATTAATGATTGTTGAAAAAATGCTAAAATGAATCGTATTATTCTTATTTAATTGATCGGGAGATTACATATTCTTATTTCACCTAAAAATTTTAAAATTGGTCAGTTTTAAAATATTCAAATTAAAAATTTTACAAACTAAAATAAACATAAAAGCACATCAAATAACTTATGTTTGATCGTGGGTGTTTTTCTGACTTTGGTCAATTTAAATGTACAATATATTAAATTATAAAATATATATGTATATTAAATTGGATTAATAAGATAGAAAGTTCAGAAATGATAATTAATACTCACTTGTCAAAATTTTCATTAAAAAAATATTAATAAAGTACTTTCTGACACTTTTAATCACTCGTTTTATTTTATTTTTTCACTGATTAGAATAATTAAAAACTATAGATTTATGAGAAAACCCTACTAAAACATATATACTTTTTAATTTATAACAAATAAAAAAGATGTGTATTTAAAAGAGTGTTTTTATTAACTGTTGTCGTTACTCCTTTATTTATAATAGAAACAATATACCATGAACATGATGAATTCAATAAAAATAGGATTTGAATTTTAACGATTTTTAGATTAATTTCTGAACAAACATTTCAACTTATCTAACAATTGCAATTGCTCTCAGACCGAAACAAATTTCAAAATACCTATTTCAAAGTTGGATTCTCCTCAAACACTTCAAACTTAATCCCATGGATAAAGATTTGGATTGAAATGTCTTTCAACCAAAAAGTTGTTGAACCAATTATGTGATTATAGTTAATATATCTTTGTTTTTAGGGATAATTAATATAATTATAAATCATTTTTAAAAAACGGGTGGAGTGTAAAAGCCTGTGACGAATTTGTCAAATCAATTTGGAATTAATAAAAAAATAGTAAAAATTAGTTTAAGCGTTTTTTTTTATAGAAAAGGTATAAAATGTAATTTATTTTAATAGAATTTTTAAAATATTTTGTGATTAAATTAATTATTTAAACAGAGAATTTAAAAAGTAATTGAAATTCTAAAAATTGTGTTAGGATATTTTTATTACTTAAAATAAAAGAATTTCACTTTTATTTTAAAAATATAAGAATTTAAAAAAAAATATTTCAAATTTATATTTTTTTCTTTGATTTAATTTAGATTAAGATATTTTGACTTGTTTCAACCCATTTAAACAAATATATAACCCAACTCGATCTAGATAAATATCTTTAAAGTAGATTTGATCTATATTGATTCAATTTATCTAATTTTTATTTATTTAGGTATGACATAATTCATTTTTATCTGATTCTTCTTAATTCGATGCATTTTGTCTTGACCTACCCTTAACGTATTTAATATTGATTTGTCCTATTCAGTTACTATCCCATTTGATCTATTTGGATCAAACTTAAGTCAATATAGTTTGATTAGTCCTAATCTAACTTGACTTATCACAACATAACCTGTCTCATCTCCATCTGTTGGTCTAATTCAACTTGATCCAATCTTCCTAACCCATTATGATTTGTATTAATCAAACTCAATCTCACTAGTTTGATTTTTCTCGATTTCACTTAACTTAATCTAATAATTCATAATCGATTTGGATCCAACCTTATCCATATGTATCAAATATTGTAAGGTGAACCTAATAACAATATAGTTAATAAATTCAAATTATCTTATTAAATAAATAATTTTAAAAAATAAATCATTTTAAATAAAATATTTAATATATTTGAATTTCTTAGAACAACTTAGTATATTAAATATCATATTTATTTCTTTGCTATTAATTTTTTAATCTTTAAGTCATAACATTTTTGTATGTAATTTTTAATTTACAATATACTTTATATTTTAAATTTTTATATTAATGTATTTATATCATATCGTATCGCAATAAACATATATTTTATCATTACTACTTCAGTTATGATAAAACTAAAGTAAATAAATAATTTTACTAACTCAATGATCGGTTCTTTCTTACAATATTTGTGAAAGTGTTTATGATCAGCTACAAATATAATTTCAATATAAAAATGTCATTGCAATATATTGGTAATAATGCAAAAAAATATACTGCTAGAGCTTAATATTTCGTCAAATTGTATTAATTAATGTCCCACATTCAACCCTTTTAGGGTAGCGACTTTGTGTATTGAAAATGAATTATTATAATCATTAGTCAGAAACATAGGTAAATACAATTTTTGATTAATTTACTTGATAAAATACATTTTATACAAAACGAAGAGAGTTAGCTGAAGATGGTGACAACAAATAATATAAATCGATACTTCTTATAATACGGACGACATAATTATACAAACACAAAAGAGTTAGCTGAAGTTGTTGACAATAAATAATATAGATGGATACTATTTATAGTAAGGAATGGAAAATCGAAAAATGTTATTTTTCTTATATTATTCTTTCGGTCCATGTTGTTTCTTTTAAAACTACTTGTGAGTTTTAGGTATACAAGTCTCAAGTATGCAGCAATATTATGGTTGAAAATAATTCTATCAAGTTCAAGTGAAATTTCTTGAGAGAAAATCATTGTGATTTTTAACAAAAATAAAAAAATATTGGTATTTAATATAAAAATTGCATAGGACAAAATGAATGAACTATTGGTATTATTCTCTAATTGAAATTGAAAATTTATGTATTGGTATTATTGAAGAAAACTAACCAAATGTATGACACTCTATCTAGATTTGCTGATGGTAGAGGATAGTAGACATGAAAGTAGTATTTTGCTTTTAGTTTAGGGCAAGGACAAGGACAATAATTAAGGTGAAGCAAGCGAGGATGGTAATTATTTGAGCATGTACTAACAATGCTTGGAACTTTCAAGATAAGTTACAACATACATTGAAGCAAAGGACCAACAACTACATTTATAGGCATAAAACAAATAAACGTAAGATGTAGTTGAGATAGTTTGAGTAGAGTAACTAGCATGTGACATAGAATATGGTTGCAAATCAAACCTCAAGCCATCCAACACAACACAATCAAAGTCACCAACCAAGGGCAACAAGGTCATTCCACAAACCCCTAACCTTTTCTTAAACAGTCTCTACATTTTCCACCCTCATCAAAAGAACCCCCTTAACTTAAACCCCCTCATGTTCTTTTCTCTTTTTGGTCTAAGGAACCACCACCATGGCAGCACCAATCTTTAACACTCCCTCCTTCACACTCTTTGTTTTTCTCTCTCTTCAACTTTCTCTTTCTTTCTCTTCCTCTCCCTCCATCCATGACCTTCTCCGTTCCAAAGGGCTACCCCCTGGCCTCTTGCCTGAAGAGGTAAAGTCCTACACTTTCTCCCAAAATGGGCACTTGGAAGTGTTCCTAGATGCCCCTTGCTTGACCAAGTACGAGAACAGGGTTCTCTTTGAACAAGTAGTCACTGCTAACCTCACCTATGGTAGCCTCATAGGAGTTGAGGGTCTGCAACAAGAAGAGCTCTTTGTGTGGCTTCCTGTCAAGGACATAATCGTAAATGACCCTTCTTCAGGGTTGATACTCTTTGACATTGGCCTCGCCCATAAACAACTCTCTCTCTCCCTCTTTGAAGATCCACCTCACTGCAAGCCCGAAGGTAAACTCAATTATTCTAAATTTGATCACCCTTTTTTATTTGCTCACTAACTACATGCTTCTAACTGAGATCTACCACTACCCTTTTGAAACTAAACTCCAAACACAAGATATGCAGAATCTTGGCTCACCCTACATACTATTGAGTTGTTTGATCATATCAATCTACTGTTTCCTGAAGCCCTTCTGATTCTACTGTTTTTTTTTTTTTTTGGGTTTTTGTCTTTACCATTTTTGGGAGTGCGAGTGAGAGACTGTAATTTCTTTTGGCTTTTTGTGTTGATTGAGGTTTCTGGTATTTTGTGCGAAAAAAAAACTGTTTCTTGTCACAGCTACATTCATATTTTCACCAAATGAATACTTTCGGAGTTACAATAGTATTTAGATTTTAATAAGAAACAAAATTTGTTTCTCTAATGGTATGCTATCTCTTGACTAGTAATAAAAAATTTTCACTAGCTTTTAAATTATTAAATATGCATCGATTGGTTTCTAATATGGTACTTCAGTATAGTTCAGGAACCAATTTAACTTTTCTTTCAATATTTAAGAAACTGATTAGCATAATTTTTAGGTAGTTTGTTTTACTCTGAGGATTATCTAACATAATTTGTTTTACTGAGAGGATTATCTAGCAGAAATCTAATTTGTAAATAATTAATTTGGTAATATATTCTTAAATATTTTAGTCACTTTCCATTTTCATTTGCTTTCTCTGAGTTAATGTTTATGTCTTCACATCCCAATGACCTAAAGAGTCTCAGACAGTAACATCCCTACTTAACTTTCCATTTTACATGCCACAGACAAAAACAATTAAGAGGAACTTTCCTGTGTTCAAAGGGAAAAAGTACAATATTCTACACAATATGCCAGTTCCTGAGCCTCGTGCATCATCACAGTAACATTTTTAGGCCAGATATGCAATGCAAGGTTCAAGGGGTGTGGTTAATTACTGATTTTATTAACTTATCTGTTTTGTTGTTTCTAGTTGGGTTTTTTTTCCCCCATAAATTTCAACTATGCATGCAATTTCCAAGGTTTTAAAAGACTGGATATATTTATTTTTTGTTTATATGCAAAATTAGTGGTTGAGACTGATTGTATGGTTGTGCAGGTGGGTTGAGGAATCATGTGAGGAAGGAAAAAGGTTTTGAGTCCCTGAGGTAGAAAAAGATGCCACCCTGTGTTTCAGGCTTCACCTGTTGTCTTTTTCTATGTCATGTTTATATAATTTTAGCCTTGCAATGCAACTATAGTCATATGAATGAGTAGGTGCTTGTAGCTTATAGGTTGAGCATGTAAAAATGTGAAGAGAGAGAGAGAGAGGAAGAGAAAGAAAAAAAACTAAGGAATATGATGTCGTAATCAAATTTACAAGTTGTAATCTTCTTCTAACTTTTGTGCATGATGTTCACCAGTTATTGCTGTGTTGTTCTGTTCTGGGATAAAAAAAAAGATATGATAAGTGTCAAAGCAAAGGATCAAATCTAGGTTTATGAATAGGCAAAGCAATTACAAGGGAACTTGCCAACGAAAATGGGAAGAGAAAGTTATTTGGAATATGTTAATTGTCCCCTTCGTTTTTGCCTTTCTGGCTCATTCATACTACAACTGGGTTTTTTGTTCTTACTTTTTGTTTCTTTAGGGAATATCAGATTGGAAGAATTGATTAAGATTCTTTGAAAGAAAAATAAAGTTCTTCATCTCTCAATATTGCGAATTGTTAATTGTAATGCAATCCCTATGAAAAGACGTTATTTTTTTTATAATATAGACACTAAAAGATTGAAACTTAATTTCAAAATGTTTTGTTAAGCTTAAAGACGTAATTCATAAATGATTAATCTAATGGTTGCCAAAAATTCGCTTAAGCTATATTTAACTACAGATATGAAAGGCTTGCAGACTTGCATATTGTATGTCCAAAGAATCTTCAACTTTGAGATACCTGAAAGAAGAAAAAAAGTCTCTCTTTGAAAAGGTAATGGGTGCTCTAGTGTTGATGTTACATTGAACTCCCCTTATAAATGTTTAACCTTTTTTTCATGTCTAAATTCCTTATAAAATACAAGGTAAATGATATCTTGGGCATTGAATGAGTTTTTTAAATAACATGTTTAAAATACCAATTTAAAAAATTTCTAAAAATATATTTTAATTTGATGCTTTGAAGTCAAACCAACATAAAGCAAACTTGATTGCTGTGCTGGATGCAGCGTGAGTTATTGCATTGCAATGGCACGAACTTACAATTTCTTCCCTAATAAGTGCTTTTATTTGGAGTTTAGCTTTCTTTTCGGTGTAAAGTTAAGCACTTTTTTGTTTTAATTATTATTAGTTAGATAGGGTTTGGAAATTAGGCCCGTGGGAGGAGTAGAATAGGAGAGTGTGAAACTCCTCGAAAGTCATACTCAAATAATGACACAATTGTATTGCCGTAAATCATGAAGTCAAAAACACATTGAATAATATGATTTCTTTTTTCTTCCTTATAACAAGTTTAAACGAAAAAATGTCTCACGAGAAGGAAATGTCAACAAAGAATGAATGTTGCACATTATGAAGATATTTCCTCTTCCAAAACAATTTGGCGAAGCAAAGATTGGATTTTTTTTTTCTTTCAATAAATCCATGCCACTAATATAAGAGTTTGAATAGTTACGATGATTGTAGTGAATCCTTTCAATTGAGCCAATCATGGTTTGATTTTCTTTCTTCAAGGGAAGTTGGTGATATACATTCGAAGGTGGATTTGTCCTTTCATGGTTATTTGTTAGTGAAAAGGCTTATTCGAATGTTTGTTTCCAATAATTGGGGTAAAGTAAAGTTTCTAAAATACCAAAATACAATCATGATGAATATTCAAAAGTGAAAGAAAGTAATGTGAATATATATAATTTAATTGAGCAATAGGATTTGTTTAAGCCGCTCCTAGTATGTCGTATATAATGTCTTTTGTGCTATGTTTTCTTGATATAATAAAAATAACCTTAGTGTATGTGCATTACCCCTCACTTTTCTAGAAGGATCGATCATTCTTTCAAGAATTCAAGTAATTAATTAGTTTATTATTCTTTGATTTTAATTTAGTTTTACGCCACATTAAGAGGTAAATTTTTTTGAGGTTCACTAATTGATATTTTATATATTTTTAATCTATGATGACTGAAACCAAACGTTTAGTCTTCTACAACGATCATATATGGTAAATCGACTATTAAAATTAGTCAAAAGTTAATCAATTGAATTACTCAATAATCAATCCAACTTAATCAATATAGAAAATTTTCAATTTGATTAATAGAAGGTTAAGCATAATGTATATAATTAAACTAAGTGATTAAGCATTTACTTAGCTAGCTAGCATTTTTCTTACTATTGTTTTTTTTTTTAATTTATTTATCAAGATTGTCCCAATTTAGTTTAAAGAGAAGTTGAGAAACAATTTTGGGTCATTTCAGCCCAATTAAGATAATAATACAAAACAAGATAAAAAAAAAAAGGTTAAATAGATGTTCACACGTACCCTAATTAGATTTTAACATTGTCTAAGTCAACTTGACTTATATGAATTTACTTATCATAAGTTGAGTTTAAAATAGGTAAATTTAATTTGGGTTACTTTATGACAAGTCAAAAATTTCATAATCCAACTCAACCTACTACGGATTGATAGGTTAGGTAAGTTTGTTCACTAATCCATATTTGTTTTTATATTATGTAATTTTTTTTCTAATAATCACAGTTGAATTGCAGACTAAAATATAATGGTACATAGGCATAACAAATGCTTTGACACGACTGAAACGCGACAAACACTGCGATGCAACTGAAATAGTAGCGGAGCAAATGCTATAATGCAACTGAAGCACATGAGTGAAACTTTGTGATGAGTTGACACAACAATCATTGACAGATGGCAAAACGAGTCAGTCCGTCCCGCCTTTGGTCTACCAAAAGCAAGGTGGGGTGGGCTAGCCTATTACAGATCATGGCGGATCGACTCTGTCATATTTTTTATTTTATTAAAATCAAATCTTTCAATAAATTTAATAATAAAATTATCATTGTCAACAATTTAATATATATATATATATATATATTAAGTTAATAATATAAATTGATATATTATTTTAATAAATTATATTTTAGAATAATTAAATTAAGATAAAATTTATATAATAATAAATACATGTAAGTAATAGTACAAATTTTTGAATTCTCTTAGTAGTGAGATACCTGAAACTTTATGAATGATCTTTATGAAACACTGAGACTTTTATAATTCTCTTTTCATAAATATTTATATTATATATTGTATTTCTAATTCTTTGTATTGTATCACAATAAAAAGAATTATTAGTAAAGCAGTGTCGCGAGCTGGTCCGGCTCCCCCTCCCCTGCAGGTTGGCAAGCGTAGCAGGGGGGCCAAAACGGACTGAAAGTACTAACTTGCTCCACCATATTATGGCGGGTTGGAGGGTCGGACGTGACTCGTTTGGCCATCCCTAGTGAAATGCGACGACAACAAATGCAATGAACATAATGGTGAATGGTACAATAGATAGATGACAAGTAGTCCAGGTACACTAGCGAACACAGTAGTATGAATAAAAGTTGATAAATAAATTTGAGTGAGAGTCATTTGATAATAAATTTGAGTAAAAGTTTGGTTTATATCGACGACATGAAATAAATATAGAGATGAATGATAATAATATTTAGAAATAAAGTTATTAAATTATTATAATTATTTTTAAAATTTAAAATAAATAACCTAATTCAAACTTGCTTAAACCATAGATTAAACGAGGCAAATTCATTTTTAACTCGTTACCCATAAAAATGAAAAAAAATCAAACCTAGTCCAATTGATGAGACAGATTCATCCTAGTATTAATTCTAAAATATACATAACTTTAATCCAAAAATAAATAAAAGCCAACTAAATTTACCAACCACTTTCAAAATATATCAAAACATTGAGATGTAACAAATGTGTCCACAAAAGATTATAATAAAACATTGAAAACACATAAAACCCTAATAATTGACGAACTCACAGTTAAACCTTGTTATTTTATTATTTATGAATGAAATAATTGAGTCGATTTTATATTTCAATTTTTTTTTTCAAAAAACAATTATATATTTTAATAGGTGTTCACATATCTCTAATTAGATTTTAATAAGGGTGTTTAAGCCAACTCGACTTATATGAGTTTACTCACCACAAGTTGAATTCAAAATAGGTAAGTTTAATCCGACTTACTTTATAATAAGACAAAAATTTTATAGTCCAACTCAATCTATTACGGATTGGTAGGTTATGTAGATTTATTCACTAACCCATATTTATTTTTATGTTGTTCAATTTTATTTTTTTCTAATAATCATAGTTACTGAAATGTAATGGTATAGAGGCAAAACAAATGTTTTGACACGACTGAAACGCGACAAACACTGTTGATGAAGAAGTAAGAATCTTCAAAGTCTTGAAGATTTGATGAAGTAAAAAGAAGTCATAAAATAAAAGATGTATTATTAAGATCCATTAGTGAGTCTGCATCAATATTAAGTAGGTATATTCATCTATCCATTTCTATAACATGAGTTTCTATCATTTACAAAAGTATAAAGTCCCTTAAATCTTTTTAATATGTTAAAAATCATTTTAATTGATTAATATGATTTTCAGTCTCAATTTTAACTAAAAACCTTCCATCAGGTATTTTAACTTATATAACTTCGAATTAATCGATTAAAAACATTTAAGAAGTTTTGAAAAATCTTCTGTCAATATTTTAAATGATATATCTTCAAAATAAGCTATTAAAAATACTTAAATAAGTTTTCTAAAATTTACTGCGAGAATTTTAATTGATATAACTTAGAATTAATTGATTAAAAATACTTAAGTAATTTTTGTGTCACATTTTTAATCTGTTAAAACATCTTAGGAAAAAATTATAGAACCTTCTAATCGATTAAAAAGAATTTTCATCAATTAAATTCATTTAAGCTAAGTTGTTTTAATTGATTAAAGATCAAATTAATCGATTAATTGAATTAGTTAGTTAGAAAAATCTCTATATAAACAATATTTTTAAAAACATCTTTGAGTGATGCAACAACTAGATAACAAGTGGTCAAATATACTAGCGAGTACAGTTATGAGGAGAACAATTGACAATAAATTTGATTGAGAGTTTAACTTGTAAAAATAACATAAAATAGATATAAAGATAAATGATAATTTCAATTACCGTTAAAGTTACTAAATTATTATAACTATTTTTAAAATTTAAAATAATAATCTAATACGAACTCGCTTAATCTATAAATTAAATAAACCAGATTTATTTTGAACTGAGGAAAAAAAATCAAACCTAATTCAATTCCAATCAATATTCCTTTAGGATTAATTCAAAGATATACCTAATCAACTAAAGTTACCAAACACTTTCAAAAATATATCAAAACATTGAGATATAAAAAATGTGACCACAAGATCATAATAAATAATTAACGAAATCACCATTAAACCTTGATATTTATTATTTATGATTGAAATAATTGAGTGGATTTTATATTTCAACTTTTTTTCCAAAAAAAATTTATTATATATTGAAAATATCAATAACTTTATAACATTAAAATATATCATTTGATTTTTTATCATTCCATTTTACCAACACTATTAAAAAAACCAATCTGATTGGACCATCACGCAACCAATAATGAAAATTAAATATATTTTTCATCGTTTTTCGATCTTTCAGATCAATTCGCATTTATTTTATTATAGAAATAAAGATTTCTATTACTACCATATAATAGAAGATAAACTATTAACTGTATTTTGGCACATAACTCTATGTGATCATTTTGGCAATGCCACGTGTCATCTATTATCATCCACACCACTGCTTAAAACGTGTAAGCGAAGGAAGCGTTTCACTCAGATAGCGGTTTTTTGTTTCTCCTTCGCGTGAGACGGAGTTCACTGATAGAACAAATGGGTGGCGGGGGAGCTATGAGGACGGCGGCGAAGATCGCCGGCATCGGCGTTTCTAGGTCGGGCCTCCGGGGTTCGACGGCGGCGCTCCCGACCGAGCAATCGGTCCGTAATGCGTCTCGATCCTCGTCGGTCGCTGGAGTGTCGTCGCAGGGAGCGAAGACCGCCGAGGTTGCGCCGCTGCAGGCGTCAGTGCCCTGGGACGATTGGGACTTGGCCGACGATGGCGATTTGGATGTGCCGAGGATGGTGTTCGGTTCTTCCCCCACTTTCGAGGAAGCTGAGGAAGCCACCACAGAATTGAAGCACGCTATTGACCAGTATGTTGAATTTCTTTTCAATTGATGACGATAGTTGGGCTAGAAATTTAATTTAGTTTATTTTGTTGTATTGATTTTTGTATTTTTGGTTTCAATTTCTATTTTGAAGTCTGTTTTTGGTTTTTACTGTGCTGGGTTTCTGTAAAGGTTTCATTTTTATGCTCCTAGTGTGGGTTTTACTTTTATGGTTGTTAATAAACTACGGTTTTAAACTGATTATAGTGAATAAAAGGTTTATTTTTTAAGTATAGTGACATGGTGCATGTTTGAATAACCATTTTGAACCTACTTTAGACATTGAACACACCTTGAAGAGGAATACTTTTTGTGTCTATTGTTCTGAATGTAGTTTTGGAATGACTGTACAATTATTCAAACATGTTATTGGTTGTCCTCAGTTCAATCTCAGTATTTTGTTTTGGTCTTGATGGAGTTATTGCTTGATGAAGGTATATCATACGCATTCCCTTTCTTGGGTCAAGAGTGCAATCGTGGGGATCAATGGTTATGTTAATTTTGTATTTTGAACCTTACTGCTTTTTTCTGGTGGAGGTTGTTTTTCATGTGCACATACACATTGTGTGGTATGTTGAATCTGGTGATACTTATCTCTATCCTGAGATCATATTTATTGTTTTTCAGAGTATATCTTTCTCCCGATTCTTCGAAATATTCATCTCCTGGTGGTGAAGGCTCTACTCTGTCTCCTACTCTTTATGAGCCAGTGAACAGATCTTGTGTCATTGATGCTATTTCAAATCCTTTAGTTCCAAAGCATGCTATTCAGGCTTTTCATTTGCTTAGCACAAGTCCTGAAGCGCAGGTGATATGATTTTGTTTTAAGTGAAATTTACAGTCTCTTAAGCAATCTCGTTTAGTGCACAATATCTAAAAATGCTTATTTAATTAAGCCATAGGTTCATTTATTGAATTAATAGATAAAATTCATTTGTCTTTGATTTCAACCAGACTGTCGTGGCTTCACTTGCTTCTGATCCAAATGTATGGAATGCAGTCATGGAAAATCCTGCTGTCTGCAGGTTTTTCCAATCACAACAGACAGGTAATCCTAATTCCTATTAATTGTAATTATTCTATAGGATAAAACTTCTTTAAAACTAAACAAAACTCGAAATTGATTTTTTGAAATAAATAAATTTAAAACGTAAAACTTAATATCATGTGAAAAGTGTATCTATCTCTCTTTTAGAAATTTAATATCTGAAGCCATATTTCAGTTTGAATTTTAACCAAACAGGGCATTAAGAACAGAACAATAGACACAATTTTAAAATTATATATGCTCATGTGAATACTCAAACTGATATGATCCATTCTTTTATGTGCTGGATGTTAATGCAAATTGTGCTGCAGTGACTGATTTTGGAGCAGAGGAAGCTACTGAGGAAGTGGAAAAGTTATCAACTTGTGCTTCTGAAGCAGTTGAAACATCTGAGAAAATGGAAACCACGGCCGAGTCTGAACCGGGAAGCGTGTTTTTCGATTTCATGGGCCTTCTGGAGAACTTAAAGCTTACAGTTACTGAATTGGTAAGTAGGGTGTCTGGTTTCCTTCAGAACATATTCCCATCACCTGATACTCAGAAAATGGCTGCCGATGCTGATGGGAACACTAAATCAAGTTACATGCAAGGAACCTTCATAGGTTTGGCAGTGTTGGTGATAATGGTGATAGTGACAAAGAGAGCTTAGTCTCTTGGAAGCAAAAGTATAATTTGTCGACTTTTCTTATCGTTTTCAAACCGTACTTTTAAAATAATAGTGTGTGGCACTTGCTAATTTATTTCTGTCAATATTTGGAAGCCTACCTGTTTCTTAGTTTTTCTGGCGATTTGTATCCATGGTGTGAACTATTTAAATTGCTGTGTCAAACTTTAATAGTTCAATCAGATATAACAGGTATTAAAAAAATTATTTTGATAATTAGAAATATATAATATTATTTTATAATGTTAAAATTTAAAATAATTCAAATTTATAGATTCTTAACTTTGAAAATATGTATAAATCTTTAAATAGAATGTGTACTATATTTAAGTTAAAATTTAATAATATATATTAATATTTAATAGTTTATGTGTAGAGTAAAATATATTAGAATTTTAGGTCATTTTTTAATTTAAAAAAATTGAAGTTACTATTCATTAAGGACTTAACTGTATTTCATAGTTTTTAATTTCTTTTAAAAAAAATTGGAACCATTTTGTTAAAATGATTTTAATTTTTTTTTCAATTATTATCATTATCATATTAGTCAATAATCTTTTTTTATTATCATAATTTTTTTTAATTTTCATATATTTAGTTTCTGCTTTATAATTAAATCAAACCAATTTTATATATTTTTTCATTAAACCGGTTTTTTAATATATGCTAGGCACATATTTACTGATTTATTATTGGTTTGCATCCCTACTAATGTTACATCATAATTGAATCATACAGAAGACTTTATTTATTTATTTCTTTAATGTCGATTTTTTTATATATGCTCCACACATTAAATTGACGTGTAAGTAAAAATGATGACATAACAAACAAGAATATTTTGATGTGACACCATATGATTTTGTAGCGTAGAATATATATATATACTCTAAATAGATGTATCGATTTAGAATGTTACGAAGAAAGAGTATGCAGACAAAACTGTTGTATCATGCCCATAAACAAAGTACAAATACTTGAATTCGAAAACATATTAAGTACGATGAAATAAAAATTTCAGCGTATATAACTGTAAAATTTGGATTCAGACATGCAAAGATTAGACAAAAAATTTCAGCACCAAACTGAAATTGACGTAGAAACAAGTCTTTATATTTGACAGTTTCTTCTTTAATAAGGATGAAAAACCAAATCCTATACATTTTAAATTCCATCAAAATTTGAAATTCTAAAGAAAGATCCCTTTTAAATATTCACTAATAGTATCATCTGCTTCAACAGGGAAGAATATATTAGTGTGAGGGAGTTTCCTAAAATAAACTGCCAAAAGTCTAATCCAGAATCAAAACCAGAAGCTAATAAAAATTGTGGCACAAATTTTGTTTTCAATTATTTATATTGAACCCTACAAAACTCAATGTATATCTAGCAGCAAAAAAACTTGCTGGAGGTCAAGATTTTGAGTCAAAGGTATTGGCAGCTTCATGCCCTAATCCATTCCATGCTAGAAAAATGAGTGACAGGTTGTTTGTTTACTAATCAATCAGTAATGAACATGATGTCTTCCTCTGAAATGTGCATCGACCCTCGATCCTTCCTGCCACCCTGTTGGCTTTTGTCAGGTTGACCTCGCTGTGTCATTACAGGAATAACCTATTTCAGCCATTTTTTTAAGAACAATTTTGGTTCAAATATATTTTTATGATGATATATAATCATTCATATCTTGTAATTGGTCTCTAAAACATTTATTTTTTAAGTTTGTTTAAACTCAATACGAAACTATGACATCCCAACTAAGTTAGGTCCTCATCACCTATCCCATCCCATGTTAATACAAATAAATTTAACCAAAAAACACTTTCTACGATAACTTTTTCTTAACGTAAAATTATTTACTATTGCTTATGCTATAAAATATAATTTTAAAAAAACTAAACAAAAAAGTGAAATGCAACATTCACCTTGGAGGGAAAAATTCTTGAGTGACTCAAAACCTTTCTTGCTTCTTATTTCTAACCTTAAACAGAGGAGGAAACTCTGGCATTCATTCTATCCTAACTTATTTATCTCCACTCCTTTCGCTAAGATAAAGGAGGACTCAAGTTTTTCTTTTTCACATGAACCAGCCAACTCAAGTGCTTGTTACTCACCTTTCTCAATACAAATGACATGTATAGATATGCTGCCTCCCATTCATCAGCTGAGAGTGTACCTGATACAGAAATATACACAAGTACTACATTACTATGATCCCGCTAACCGGGACACCTAAAAATAGGATTTCACATAAAAAAATTTGGGAACGTAATGTTCAATGAAGTTAAATGGAAATTAAAAGGAAAACAGTAGGAACAAAGGGTTACTATGATCTTGGTTGCCATCTCCCAATGCACCTAGTCTCCGCATGAGCTCCACAAATTCCGGTTTTTTCATATAATCGTGCACAAATTCGTGTGAGTTCTTTGCGAAAACAAGCTCAAATTCATACTGCAAATGTTAAGGTTAAATGAGTGGTAGTAGTCTAGAAGCACAAGTCATTGCAATCAACACTTATCCAAGAAAAACTAGAAATATGGCAGAGTATCACAGACAGTGTGCTACATACCTCTTCAGCTAATGACTTGAATATGTGGAAGGGGACAATCCATTCAGGACAATCCACAGCATCCTGAAACAACACATCGCGTCTTAAATTGTAGGATAGGTATTAAAAGAATGGAAGTTTTAAAGGGAACTAAATAAGAGACATGGTCTTTGAATGCTGTTACACAAAGGTTTTTTGTTTATGCATGCACAAAGTCATACATGACATAGTAATTTGACAGGAAAACTGCAAATCAGCCTTGTGTGATTGGAAAATAGCTACTTGATATTTAGAAAATGAAGATTAGAAAGAAATGCTACCTCCAAATGGAATGTGTACTTTATTCCAAAAGGGCTGGAAGATTTAAATTTCTGAGTCACAAAAGGAGAATTTCAGGTACGAGCTAGAATTCACAAAATCATTTCCATAATTACAAAGGTTTCAGGTATTAAAAAAGAAAAGATGACACCACAGGATTAGGAGAACAAACTTACCTTATCAGAAAATTCTTCATCAAAACGCACCCAATAGACGCTGTTACCAAAACTTAATCCTTGAGCTGCAAATTCACAGTGAAAATAGCATCTCCAATCAAGAATGAGAAAAATGATCAGACAAACCCAACAAAATCCCCCACGTACATGCAGCCAAAGTTCATGCAAAATAATCTCAGTTCAATTTCATATAAGAAATTTCAGAAGCTGCGAGGAAAGAGCAAAATTGCAAGACTTGTGAAATGGATTGTTTCTTTTCTTCTTGGTAACATGAACACGGGCACTACACTACATGTCATCAAAATATAATAAGCAAATAACACGTAAAAGAGAAGTTTTTTATATGCACTGAGACATTTTAAATGACAAAACCAAACTCCTACATATACTATATTTCAATTAAATATATTATTTACACAAACATTAGACATACCAACAGGTCTGTGTGAACTGTCTTAATAAAATATTATGAACTTCTATCAACTTTTTTAAAATAACAACAATCATCATGTCTTATTTCACTACACGAGGTCAGTTACATGAACCAATTCATGTCATAGGACTTCATCAACAACTAAATTTATTTCAAGAGAATAATAATAATTGAACATGCAAGAAAAACCTTCTCGAAGCTTCTTGATAATCACATTGGCATCAGGCATAGTTCCAATGAAAATGCCTCCTGGGCGAAGTAAAGCTGACACATTAGCTAATGCTTGGCGGGCACGGGCCTCTGTAGACCATGAGTAATGCAATGCAAACTGCAGCATTTAAAAAGTTTCAGACTAAAATCCATCGTACACTTAAAGAAGTTGATAATTTGTTACGAGATAATAATATGGTAATGAACAGTATGATGATATTGCTTCTACAGGAAAAACAGTATGGCGGTTTTACTTATTAAAAGAAAAAAAAGGGCAGTAATCAAGAATAAAGGGCTTTGCAAGAACAAAGTTAGATGCCAAATAAATAATATTAAATGCAATAAAAGAAAAGCATAAGGTAAGGATATTTAATAAGAATGTATGGACCACTTCTACAGTTATTAGATTTTCTAGCCGTAAACATAAATTTCTCTTTCTGCATAAATACATTAATTATGTATAATTAATTCAAGAAAGTATCATTTACCTGGCAACTACAAATATCAAAAGGAGCATCATCTGCAAGAACTTTGTCCAAGCGAACCTGCAATTGCAAATGACATGAACAACTAGACCTTCTTTGAACATCTAAACAAAATTCAGAACTTAGTATTGAAGCTGAACGCAAGATCACTTTCACTGAAGATAACTTAGGGTGTGTTTGATTGCGTTTTGTATTTTAGTTTTTGAAAACTATTTTATGATATGAAACAATTTTCAAAAACTAATTTTTAAACCATAGAAGTGGGAGAAGAAGATGAAAGAAAGAACATGAGCAATAGAAAACATAAAATCAAAACAACTAGATGTTCTGTTTTTTTTTTTTTTAAACTGCAAAATTGTATTATTTTTTAAAACAATTAAAAAACTACGCTTATCAAATAAGTTTTTTATTTTTTTCATTTCATTTTAAAACAGAAAACAACTTTCAAGAACGAGAAAAAAAGATACCCCAAAAATTTAATCTACTTGATCAATAACATGTTATTTGCATCTACTTAGGCAATTCAGTAAATCAACTAATGCCCAGAACATGTTATTTAATAATCCAAATATGAGACAGAACAAAAAACAACCTGGAAGTAGTTGTACTAATGTCCAGGTATTAGAGGCACTGAATTTGAATTATAGTATGCTAAGAGTACTTGTGCAGCTAGAATAAAAAAAAAATGAGAGAGAAAATGCTATTGACAAGGAGACAAAATTAACAGATCAAAATCTTCTGCTTCAACTTTGTTTAGTTCAAATAGAATGATTTTGAGGGAATGAATCTGAAGGAAAGACAAGATTGTCAATCAAAATTTAAATTGTGGTTGCAATTGCTGTTTGGTCATGATTCTTGATATTGCAAAAAACTGTGGACATATCAAGTGATGTTGACCATAATTGCAATTACAGTATGGTTTTGGATTCCTTAAAAACCTTTACACTCTGGCTGCAGTTGTAGTTGTAGAACATTTTCCAAAATCTAGTGAATATCCCTCTATTTAAATATCCCCCTCTCCTTCCCTCTTTAAAACACACCATTGAGAAAAATTATAGATGAAATGTGAAGAACATATAAAGCGGGCAGGAAATGTTAATCACCTCATAACAATCTCCACATATAAGGCGGGCAGGAAATGTAAACTTTTTACGTCGCTGATGATGGTCAGCATCACCGTTGTAGCGTGTTCGGCAGTCTTTGATCTGGAAAAATAGTTGCATTCAGTGAGCAGACAGTGAGGACACAGACATGATAATTACAAACAATTTCACATGATAAGGTATACAATTTTTCACCATGTAGTGGCAAGGATTTGAGCTATAAAATATAATTGTGGGTTATCACCTAAGGTTGGGGAAATATACAGCTGCAACAACAAATTTAATTGGATTTTGATCCGCAACTTATGAGCCCTTGATCTCTCTAAACTACAAGGCAAGCTTTTGTCTATGAATTAAAGAAATGGGAATAATATCAATCTTATACCACCTTCTTGAGCATTATCCATAAAGAGCACGACTTCCAATTTTGGTTCATCAAGAGTATGTTTCTTTAGATACATCATAGATACATAAGTGACCAAGTGAAGTATTTGAGAGCATAGTTATCAATCTTGGATAGCATCACATAGTGGTCAACTTAAAATGTGCTATAGCAGGGAACAAGATGACTGTTATTTTAAAATATTATAATACAAACAAAAAAAATTATACTACACATAATAACACTCAAAAAAAGAAAACCAAAATTAAAGAAATTCAAGATAAACAATAAGTCACACGTTTATACACAATCACTGCCAATCTTGGAGCAACAAAAGAGTGAAAGATGACGGTGAAAAAAATCACTTTGATCCGCTACAGCTCCAATATACCACACAATTGACTACAATGTTAGAGTATTGGTGTTAGATACATGAAGAAAATGCATATACCGGTGTTAATTAGCAAGTGTACCCTTAATTCTTGTCTATAAATGACTATATTCATTGTGGTAAAAATCCTAATTCAAGAGCATGGTAGTACAATTTGGTGGAAAGGAAGATGTAAACATGATAAGGAAAACCAGTGCAGACAACTGCGGCAAATAGTAATACTCACCGAACCTTCAGCAATGTCAATACCAACATAATATCCAATTTTGGCCTTATCCCATTTGATAAGATCACCACCCTGGTAAACATTTATGACACAAAAAAGGATGCTTAGTGAATAAACTGGCAATGACTTGTGGATATAAACAACAACTGAAAACCATTAACACCTTGCCACAGGCGAGATCAAGTACTGCATCTCCTCGTCGGGCATAAAGCTGAATTAAGACGCTCTTAATCTGTTAAATGACTAAGCAATTAATTTGCAATCATGCAATACTCTGTGGAATACATATCATATATTACAGAACTCAATAGATACCCAGTTATTAAGTTTCTTCAAATGAATTATTGGACTAGCCTCCCGTTCTTCCAAGGTCTGGTTGGATCGTGCACTGTAATGATCAGCCACTTTCCGAGCAAAAATTTTTGTGCTTTCATCCTCAAGAAAGTGTGCATCACCTAAACTCAATGCATCAGATGATAATTAACACGAGAACCAAAACCCTAGATGATTTCACAAGAAAAGCAATTGAAATCATGTTTGTGGTTTCATCACGATTCTTGATATTATAGAAAATTGCTTGCAGCTGATGCAGGAGTAATTGTGGTAATTAACTCTTTTTCAAAACTTGAGAAGTGGAAACAAAACCTTTAATTCCCACAATTGAATCGTATAAACTCTTCATACACTGAAACTTAGTACCACAAAATTACTGTCAACTTCATTTATATTTAATTGAGCAACGTCCGTATGCGGTCAATGACTAGAAAAACCTCTACTCTTAACCTCATATCCCAAACCACAACCCAAAATTACCAAACCAGGATGCACTGTAATTTCATTCTTAACTCCGTATTTCGGACCAAACCCGATACAAAAGCCTCAAAACTTCCCCTTTAACCCTATTCCTCCACTTGCAAATTCAACCAACCCAAAGTGTCAAAACCAATTAACCCCAGATCCACAAACCTTTCAACACGATGAAAGAAAAAAGAAAGAAGAAATGTTGTAGTGCCAAAGCAGTAAAATATTTACCTTGAGTGTCATGCCTAGCTCTGGATTGAGGTGGACCTACCGAGGTCGAAGGAGATTCCTGATACCCACGTTTCATTGGGGCAATGAACCGAAGAAGAACGACACTCACTAACTCTGCGTGCGGATGCTGCTGCGAGAATCGTTGAAGGGTATCAGAGAAACAATCGAAACTGTTCCCAAGTTTTTTATTTTTTATTTTTGGAAAACTAAGGGAGGGAAGGAATTGAGTGTGCCTTTTTGTAGGGTTGTTCCTGTGGGGTATATTTGATTTGAAGAAGAAGAAGAAGACTGGAAGTGCAAGTGAAAGATATGCAAAAAGCAACAAAATATTTGGGTCCGTGGAAGGATTTATAGTGGTGTGGTAATGGTGGCGCTGAAGGAATCTGGATCCTTTCCTGCACAGCACAATGATATCTGATTTGTGAATGAAATTAATTAGAACCAATGCCTCAAATCAGAGTTAATTTCGTTCTTTAAATATAAAAAAGTTAATAATAATGACTTAATATAGCTCTAAATTGAATAAATAAACTATAACTAATTAAATAAAAATTCATAAGGAAGAAAATGCCTAATTAATACAATTTATCATTTTTCATATTTTCGTAATTTATCTAAAGAAGACAATTTGGACAAATAAATTCTCGGGTACTTCAAACAATTAGTCACCATTTAATGGATGGAGATATCATAATTTACCAGAAAAAACTGATTAACTTAAACTATAAATTTAAAGTATAAATTAAATTAATTTTAAATTTTCAGTAATATTTTTTAATATATAAGTTTATAAATATATAAAAAAAAAATCCAATTTTACCAAATAGATCAAATACAGATATATAAAACTAATTATGATAATATATACTACACTAAATGAAAATTTTAAAAGCAATCACAATGTAAAACAAACTGAATTCAAGTATAATTATAAACTAATTTGTCAACCTTGATATATTTTCAAATTAAAATAATAAAAATAATTTTTGTATAATCATATCATCGAATTTCGTTAATTTTTTTTTTAAATGTCGTTGATCACTTTTAGTAAATCATCAAATAACTCTCATGAATTGGATTTAATTAATTTCATGCGTATTGAATTGAATTATTTTTTAACTTATATTCAAATTAAAATATAATTTTATTTTATTGATTTTTTTATTAAAATAAAATATTTTTAATTTTCCAAAGTTTGTGTTGTTTCAAACACTCTTTCCTACTCGTATAAACAATGTCATATTATTTATTTTAGTGGTAGATTTTATTTTTAACTTAAAACTAAGGTAAAAATTAGATATTTAGCAAACACAGTTGATTGAGGTGGAATATATTGCATCAAGAATCATAATTTTAAACAAGTATAATCCTAATACATAATCATTAAACTTAAACGTCTCAAATAATGAAAAATTATCAAATAATCACAATTAATTCTAAATGAAAAGAACCACATAGACACACCAAGTAAAAGACTAAGTGAATATTAAGAATATTTTCTTCCATTTATCTCATTCATTGAATTAAAATAAATATATTGTACAAATCATAATCTTAAAGAAACTAATTAAAATAAATATAATATACAAAATCATAATCTTAAGAAACTAATTAGGTAACTAATAATATTATATATATATTTAGGAAACTAATTATAAATTAAATATATGTTTACCTAAAATATAATAACAAAATATATTTACATGTATCTTAACACACCCTTGCAGATCAAAGCAGGAGGACGATGACACTGAAACTATCCCTAAAATCATCAAATAACACACGCGGAAATCCCTTAGTAAAGATGTCCATGATCTGATATCGTGAAGGCACATGAAGAACTTGAACCTGACCACGTGCAACTTTTTCCGTACAAAATGTATGTCCATCTCAATATGTTTGGTACGTTGATGTTGCACCGGTTGTCCGACAAATAGATAACATTAATATTGTCACAATACACAAGAGTAGCCTTGCTAACCAACAATTCCAATAACAAACTTTGAAGCCAACACGACTCAAAAACCAAATTAGCAATACCCCTATACTCGGCCTCTGCACTAGACCAAGAGAGTGTAGATTGACGCTTGGAGGACTATGACACTAAGTTGTCACCCAAAAACACATGGTAACCCAAGGTAGAACATCTCGTATCAGGGCATCCCCCAATCAACATCAATATAAGAAACAAGAGATGAGGTCGAAGATGTTGAGATGAAGACCAAGATCAAGTGTACATTGTAAATACCGGATAACAACGTTTGAGAGCTTGCATATGGACCACCCTCGAATCATACATATGTAAACACATCTTAGCATTGGTGTCAACCGGTGTTGGAGACGACTTGCAAGAAGACATACCGGCCCAGTCAATAATTGCTTTAGTATATTTGTGCTGTGAAAGGACATACTACCCTTATGTCAGGTCACTGCAATGCCAAAAAAATACTTCAAAGGACCAAGATCCTTCATAGCAAATTCCAAGCTCAGAAGGTTCATAATATATAATCGGAGAACATAAGAAAAAGCAGTAAGAATAATGTCATCAACATAAAGCAAAATATAAGTCATGTGCGAACCCTTTCGATAAATAAATAATGAGTGGTCACATTTGCTATTTGAGAAACCAAGAGACACGACATAATCAGCAAATGCTTATACCAAACACTGGTGCTTGTTTAAGCCCAAGAACGTCGGACTGTTGTTACTGTCTCTGTGATGCTGGACCCCGTGCCCACCCCTGGTTTAGATATGGGCATGGAGGAGCCCATTGAGGCATCCAACCGCAAGGTGGGTAATTCGGCCAAGGTAAAGACCCCCACTATGGCTGCTATTGTGGACTCCCACCAAACTGCTGCAGACCATCACTGTCGCCCCCTGTACTGCTGGATTTGCCACCGCCAGACTCGTGACCAACGCCACCGGATTTTTTTTCAGAATTCTTGCGATATCTAGACAGCTTCCCATGGTGTTGCTGGTGGTGTAGCCGGTTCGAATGTGAGGAATTTGAGTCATAAACGGATTGGGAGACAAACACTATTGCCGACTCCGATCCCGTGACAACCTCCTTTGTCAATCTGGCTTCCTCAAGTGTGAGCATCGATCGAGCCTGATAAAATGGAGGTAGGGGATCATTCTACCGAATTAGCATCCCTACACCACGATATACACTTGTGAGACGAGAAACAAATTGAATGACGAGGCAGCTCTCTGACATTGGTGTTCCAACATTTTTCAACTTATCAGCAAGAGATTTGAGACTTTGACAATATGCCATTTAAAATACAATAACAAAATATATTACATATGTCTTAACAAAGACTCATTCAAAGTGATATAAGCACTATTGCTTTTAAGGTATATACCATTAATTTTGCATGCACCTCCTCTTTAGTTCGACCGAGAAGATTACAGTTCAATATATTGAAAGATTCACTTAAAAGATTGATGAAAAGATCCTGAATTATTCGTTCGAAGATAGAAAGGATTTTGGTCTCATAGGAACATAATCAGTCATACTGTATGATTTTCATAGGTTGACTCTGTATCTGTCACCATTAGCCAGTTGAACCAATACCTTAAACCATGGAATCAACGTGTGTTTTACACTGACACAAGACTTGAATCTGAAAAATAAGTCAAGCACCTAGTCACTTGGTTGTTTGCCTCAATAGCATTTTTCATTCTTTTTTTTATGTCATTTTCTTTCATTAATTTCCAAGAACTTTACAATTATAAAATGCTTTTTCATGTATCATGACATAGAAATTCAAATTCCACTTCTCTTTTCTGTTTCTATTCTGAGCACATTTTTGAACCATTGCACAGAATCTTTTGGTATCCTAGTAAGATTGTTCTTGAAATCCACATAGTAGAGTCCAAAACGTACAGTGTATCCCATGTTCCATTCCCAATTGTCTAGCAATGACCATACAAAGTAACCTCGTACATTGCAATCATCTTGCCTGTATTGAATTCATATTATGTCAGAATTAAGATTTTCTAACAAAATAAGGTTACAGAACCCATAAGCAGAAATTCTAGGATACCTTATAGCAGCAGATAGGTTTGAGAGATAGTCTCTATGGTATCTTATCCTCTTGTCATCTTTTAATGCCTTTTGTAAGGTCATAAAGGGCTTGCTTGGATCATCCATTCCTGCCATCACAAATCTAGGGGATATTAAAAAACTCATGAATACTTGAGAATTGTAGCTTTTGTGTTTCCTCTTTATCTCTCAAGATCAGTTACCTTATTTCTTCATCTCTTATTTGTTTCCTAAATAGCTAGAATTATTTTTAGAGTAAACAAGTTAAAGGTTCCATGAATATTCAATATATTATCAATCAATTCAGTGATTCATTTTCTTTTATCCATTTTTTCTCCATCTGTGTCGAACTGTATAATTTCATTAGTTTACCAATCCTAAAACTACTACTCAGTACTCACCATTCTCTGTTATAATCACTGGTGTGTCCCCATATTTGTCTTTCACATGTTTCACCAACTTTCGGATGCCCCATGGGACAATGTGCAGCCAACTTGAAGCTGCCTGAGAACAAAAGAAAAAGACTTACTGATTTAGCATGAAGTGTACTGAGTAAAATGTGCATTGCAGCCTTAGGCTATATTTGGATTCATGGTGAGGAGTAGAATGAAAATGCAGTAAAGTAAAATAGAATAAACTTTCCATTCCATTTGTTTGGATATTTTAATGATAAAATGAAAAGGAAAAAGAAAAAAAAAAGTGAAAACCATTCCACTCAGACAATAGAAGGTACACTGCATTCTGAGCATACCTTTTCTCCAATTGCAGCTCCTCTTCGGTATGCTAGGATAACAAACAAGAGCAAATATCAGAAACTTCCAATGAACTTCAGTTTTGCTTGTTTAGGCAAAAAAGAAAAAGAAAGGGATGTTAAACAAATGGGGTCACAATTAGCATTACCGGTTGTAATAACAGCAGCATCAGAAATAGCATCTTGCATAACCAATTTATGAATCCTAGTCCTATCGTTACGAGTATAGACTGAGGTGTAATGATTTATGCCAATAAAATCCAAAGACCCCACAAGCCACTTCGAGGTTGCATCAGAAATCTCTGGCAATCTCTTGCCTACAAGTTTCTTCATTGAGAGAGGATATTTTCCAAAGAAAAGTGGATCTAGAAACCTGATTCACATTGGTGTTTGTGGAAATGAGTTCTTAGTTTCTTTCACTAAGCTATAAATTTTTTGATAATCATTATGCCACAACAAAGGTTACCATCCAAGTGAGAAGTCCATAGCTCTTGCTGCTGCATCTTTGTCTTCATCAAGTTCTGTTATTGGTTCATACCAAATAACATCTAGTGCTATTCCTATTTGACCTCCTTGTTGTTTCTGAATTATCCATCCAAATAAAAAGTGAAATTATTATGGACATTTTTAGCTTTTCTGTTAGACTCTTCAGTGATAGTATTATCAATTAAACTTGCACCCTATAATGTGTGAATGTCAATCATAATTCTTAAGAGGAATTACACTTATAAGTTATATCCCAGGAGATTATGTTAAATAATATTTATATTTTTACTAATTCTTTCCTATATTTTTGATAAAAATATATTATTTCCTTCTAATTTAAAATGCACGTTTATTACACTCTAGTTTTATTAAAAATATTATGCTGGCTACAAATTAAATAAAAATTTATGAAAATTAAAAGTTAAAATTTTAAAATATAAAAAATTAAAAATATAAATAAAATAAGGATAGTAAATATCACTTTATTAACTAAGTGTTATTTAAGGGAAGTAGATTATTATTTAAAAATTATACTGAGTGTTATTTTCATTAAAAAAAAAGAGATATAAGTGTTTATTTAAATATATATATATATATATATATATATATATATATATATATATATATATAAATGCCATTTAGTCTTTAAGATTTTGAAACTTTCACTTTGACTTTTCCCATGTTGCAAAATATAATTTATTTTAATGGTTAGTGTCATTGAAAAAATGTGGTGAAAAGAAAATAATATTTTGTAAAGATAGCTATTAAAGTGAAAGCTTTCTAAAAGTAAGGAATACAATGAAACAGACTAAAAATCTCAAGAATCAAAGAAGAGTCTTAGTTTATTTAAAAAAATGTATATATTTTTATATGACTAGTGTGAAAAGGATCTGTTTGTAACCTTGAAATTTAGTTGGTAGCTTCTGTAGGCAGCAGCATGAGATAAGAGAATGTTATGAGCAACAACGTATGGCTCAGTGGATGATTTTCCCTTCTTACATAGAAGACGACCTAACAGAGAACATCTTCCTGGTGCTTGAATGCCTAAATCATAACCATGGAGTGCAAAGTTATGAGGCTCATTGAAGGTAATCCAGTGCTTGACTCTGTCTCCAAAAGCTTTGAAGCATGTATAGGCATAATGCTCAAAATCTTTTCTGTAGGTAAACATAGGGTGAATATGAAATCCAACTATACATTTCAAAACATCAAAACAAGTACAAGTATGAATAAATCTTTGTATAATCACTTTGAGCAGAAAGTAAAACAAGATTCTCCATCAAGCAAAACTAGTTTATGCAGTTACATTCTTTTTCTTGTTCTTCATCATGGGAGTTTATTCAAACAGATCTCATCTCTTACATGATCTGTGTGCTTAACCATCCTTCATATTTATCTTCAAGCATTTGTGGAAGGTCCCAATGATATAGAGTAACAAAAGGCTGGATTCCTGATTGAAAAAAAGAGCTAAAATTTTAATGCTATTTTCTTTTATATATTTGAAGATCACATTTTCGAATAAATTCTTGAGTAACCTTTTTCAAGCAAAGCATCAATGAGGTTGTTGTAGTATGTTATTCCCTCTTTATTAGGTTCCCCTGTTCCGTCTGTTCACAAATTCATTTAGCATTTGGATCAAACTACACAAAAATTAAATGGTTTTGAAAATAGAAAAACTTACTTGGGAAAATTCTCGTCCATGATATGGAAAATCTGTAAGAATCCATTCCCAAATCCTTCATCAAGTTTACATCATTCTGCATGAAATGGAATTTGTGCTAGCATCAATGTGAAAGTTTATTCTTTTCTTTGTTTCACTTTTGAGTACAGTTATGCGAAATCAATAAAGAGAAGAAAAAACACAACAGTTTCATTTTATTTCATACATTCTTGATATAAAAAGTACATATCTTTTTTTTTTACCAACTAATGAAAGTCTATAATTTACCAAAAAATGTTAACATGAGTGTAACTATATACTTTCTACGTAAAGTATTGTAAAATGAAAAAGAATATATATATATATATATATATATATATATATATAGAGAGAGAGAGAGAGAGAGAGAGAGAGAGAGAGAGAGAGAGTGAAGAGAAAATTTTACTAAAATTACTCGATCCAATTCTCTAATAGTGTTATAAACAAAACTGTGGATATCCCTACCAATAACATGATATAAATTGGGTATTTTTTATATTATCAATACATTTTAACAAAATTAAAGAAAATAAATAAAAACTGAAGTCACATCAACATAGCAGTTTTATAAGAGAATAAGCCAATTAACAAAGTAGTGAGGCATTTATATTCATAAAATACAATAAGTGTTCTATTATTATTATTGTTATTATTATTATTATACAGTATAAAGATCTTTTGCAACACTTTACACGCTTTGGAGTTTAATGTCATGTGTTTCTTTTACGCTGATTTTCTATTCCTTGGGGTTGGTGAAACGTTGTCATCGTCACCACCATGGCGGTGATCGTTCGATTTGTTTTCCATTTATACAATATTCTAATCCTAGCCATTTCAACATGGATAGTGACCACATGCACCAAAAGGAACATAGAAAATTGAAGCAACTATTGTGGGTTGAGTGAAGTTGAAGTCAACAAATGTGTCTTCTTGCTTTACCTCAAATCGGTGGTATTGATCCACTGCCATGTCTGCATTACTGAAATCCACAATTCTCCCTATTATCATGATGCAAAACAAGAAATGAGAAACTTCAACACGCAGTTTCAAATCTTCCCTTTATTGGTTTTGATTTCATTTTCATCACTACCTGGGATTCTAGAGAAAGTATCCCATATGCTATCTCCTTTGTTTCCTTCATCAACAGCTCCCTCAAACTGTGACATAAAACACAACATAATTGTTACCTTCTTTATTAGATTATGTTATTTCAATCAAAATTTGAGTTTCACTTTGTTAACTCATGCAATAAAAGTTTGTATTAAGGTTTAACATGGATTATCGAGATAAAACTTAAATTCTGATTGAGAAACGATAAGAATAAAAAAATGAAAGCTTTTGTATAACTTTGTCTAAGTTTTGTGAGTTGAATAATAGAAGGAAACTGAAATGCATACCTGGTGAGCTGAAGAAGCAGTTCCAAAAATAAACCCCTTTGGAAAATCTGCTCTGCTTATTGATTCTGCTTTCACTAGGAGTTGGATTGTTATGAGGATAAGAGTGAGAGAAAAAACACTATGCCTCATGATGGTTGTTGGTGCTGAAAAGTTTTCTGCAGTTGGTTAGTGACTCGTTTGTGGTTACAGTCTAAAATGCTTTGATATATTTATATACAGCAAAAATGCACCTATCTTTGTTTTTAAGGTGAAGGGTGTGGCAGAATAAGAAATAGACTAAAGAGGGTGGGTTTCCTTAGAAACTGGCACATGTTGTGAGATATGATGAATTCCCCATTTTTTCGGTCTTGGTATTCAACTTTTCTGAGGGACCATGCTCATCAATCAGAGAAAGATGAACCCCTAGTGAATTGGGATAGCACCATTGGCATGTAACATTTGGTAAGCAAGAGATTCTTCTATATTCTTCTTATAGCAAAAGGGTGTGTGTGTAGGATATGGAAAGGGTGTATTCAAATGTTGATGAGGAAACTTGAATCTGAGGGAATGATGCAGTGTGCGTCAATAATAGGCTGCAGTTGCGGGGAAGAGATCATTATTCGTGTTGTTTTCTGAATGCCACATTGAGTGTGCCTTTCCCTTTTTATACTTCTCCATTTCTTCAGTATCTTTCTTATGGGGTGTCTGAGTGGGTAAGGATTTCAACCAGAGCATTGAATTATGCCAGAATTATCTTAAATTTTTTTCTTGTGGTCAATTTCATCTTGTGTGTCTCTCTAATCCACGCCTCTTCACGCAATGATAGACATACAAGTCATTCATGCTTGCACGAGTATGTTAAAAATCTTAACTAAGACTTGTTCATCACATTGTTTATTGAATACACAAATCATTGCTTATGTGTTAAAGTGTCCTCAATAAAATTAATGGAAATTATCATTTCTCTTCTATTCCAAAGTGAAAAAAACAAGTTGTCAATTTAAGTATAAAAGAACAAAACTTTTTTTCTTTTAAGTATTTTCCCTTTCATTTCTTTCTATTGTTGGAATTAAACATGTTGTTAGGTGTTGGATAATAGTTTTTCCTAAAATTAGTGTACGAACAGTTTGGTATGAAAGGAGCAAACCATTTCATGTCACAATATATTGTGGAAGTTGTAATTGCTAAAATTTAAAAGATATGAATATATATAAGTTTTATTAATTTGTCTTTATAAACAAGAAAACAACACCCTGGCCTACTTGATTTGTAGTTTTTTTTTCACAGTCAATTGGAATCCAAATTGAAAAGAATTGTTGCAAAAGAGAATCGATGATGAACGCATATTCATGTGAATTAGATAAGCAACACATGAAGAGACCAATTACGTGGGCGACAGAGACAAGTCACACCGTTTAATTTATTTTAACTTTACCCGAACAAATCATTAAAAAAATGTTCCGTACTAAAGAACATTAATATTACACTATTAACAACAATAATAATGAATAAATAAATAATTGTCAAGGTGAAATCACCTATAAATTTAGAGGTAAAGAAGTTTATTTCATTTTGTACACAATTGACAAATAAAAAAAATGGCCATTATTACGTGGAAAGCATATAAATGATTGACAAATATTTTATACAATAAACAAATCTCAAAGATAAGAATAACAATTAGCCATTGAGTTTGCAACTTGTTGATAAACTTTACAACCTACTTTCTCGTCATTCTTCTTTTGTTTAAACAAACCCTACAACTTTGGTTGCGTTCAAAGTCCAAACTATTTTCAAACACATAAGTTTGTGTTTTGGATACATTTTTGGAGTTTTCTATGTCTTCCCACAACCTCATAAAATAATTTAACTTAAAAGATTATCTCTTCCACCATCAATTTTATATATATATATATATATATATATATATATATATATTTTTTTATTTATAATTTAATCATAACAAGTAGGTTGGTTGTTTAAGATTCTAAAACGACCATTCTAATAGACTTTTCACTTTCCCTGTTCACTTTATTTTAATGTTATTTTATTTAAAACGTGGATTAAAAAAAATCTCTTTCAACCATCTTAACAACCCTCCTTTTATATTTGTTTATATATATATATATATACCTAATTTTCTTAACCACATTTTTTAATATATTTTTTGCTTATATCTTTAAATTAATTTAATCACATAATTTAAAAATCATATAATATAATCTAATTTATTTATTGTAGACTCCTCTATTATGCATGCCAATATCGTGGCCCTTTTTCATGTATATTTCACTCCATTCAAGTGTCCTTTTAGGGTGATTGGAAATTTTTTATAACAAAATATCTCATAAAAATTCTTTTTTAAGTAAATTTCAAGATAATTTTACATATGCACTTTCTAAACAAAAATTAATTTTATTTTTAAGTTAAAAAATTATAGATTCTTGATAATGACTCTTTCTATCACGTCATTAGCATCACTACAATTACAACTATAATCTATTATAATATTATTATGACATTACTCTCTTTTATATTAATACAAAACGACATAGTATAATTAACTTTCTTGAAAAAGCTAAAATATTACATTAAATGAGGCAAGTAATGTCACTATTTACATTACAAGACACACAATCTGAACCATAATGTCACTAAAGTTACAATTAGAAACTTTATGTATCACCACCACGTAATAAAATAAAAAGAGTCATAAGTAAAAATAGGGTTTGCATAGTTATATTATAATGCGTAACCACTTAAAACATAATTGGTGTCTGATTTTTCCCTAAAACTTGACTTTAGAAATGTACTTCCCAAAATTGAAAAATTATAATGCAGAAATTTAAATGAAATGTTAAATTCTTTTGAACACTTACAGAAAGTAGTTTTCGAAATAATAAAATTTGGGAACCCTTCTAAACAAATTCTTTATAATTTTTATTAATACTTAAAAAAATATCGCTGGAATTTTAATACTTCTAAAAGAATAACTTTTAGAATGTAAATTTTTTTCACAAAGTTCTGTTAAAAAAAAAAACACATGCTAACAAGTCTAGACGGTGTAGAAAGTAAAAAAATTAAAACTAACCTTAAACCCTCAAGTGTAAAAATGCTAAACTTACGACCGAACCCACCTTCGTAATTTCACGTCTGCTTATACTATATACACTTCCCTATTTTACAAATACACTTATTTTATTTTTTTATCTATATAACAATTTTTTTACATAAATATGCATAAATATTACTGAGATAGCACACTTTCTACTAAACCGTTACAATTCGGTCTTGCGAGCTCAATTCTGACTTGGATGATTAATAATTTTTTTAAAATAAGAATAATATTTATTAAATATATATATATATATATATATATATATAAAATAAATATATAAATATTATATAAATATTTATATATTTTAAAATTTTATTTATATACTTATATCAAATAAATATAAATATATATTTTTTATATAACATAAAAATATAATTATATTATTAATATATTTTTATAAATATAGTAAATACAAATATATTTAATATATATAATCACTAGTTCAAAAAAGGCTTTCTATGTCGATTAAAATGGGCTTTTTACGTCGGTTAAAGAGGCGACATAGATACATGGGTCATAGAAAGTATGACTTTTTATGTCGGTTGTTATGAACCGACATAGAAAGTAATGGGTTTTTTACGAAAATTTATATTAACTATAATATATTATTTTAGAAGTTTGACATTAGCAAGATTCGAACCCGAGTACCTTAGAGTTGAAGACTAATACTCCAACCACTAAGCTATTATGATTTTCTAATAAATAACTTACAAATAAATTATATTTATATACAAAATATATAAATACAAATATATTTATATTTTTTGATATATTTATATATTTTGATATATTTATATATTTATATATTTATATATTTTGATATATTTATATATTTATATATTTAATTTTTTTGATTTAATATACACTTTCTATGTCGGTTCAAATTTTAACCGACATAGAAATCAAATTTAACCGACATAGAAAGTGAATGTGCTCACATACCATGTCGGTTATATAACAACCGACATAAAAATTTTATAATATTATTACAAAAATGTCACCGCTCTATATACTATGACGGGTGGATTACAATCGTCATAAAAAGTCGTCATAGAATCATATTTTTCCACTAGTGAATATTTAAATATTTATTTATATTTTTATAAATATAATAAATACATGTATATTTATATATTTAATAAATATATATTTATATCTTTTTATATACATAATAACATAAATAAATTATATATATATATATATATATAATTTAAGTATATTTTAATATAAAATAATTTTAGTAAGTAAATATAATATTTCTTTTATAGAAATATATAAATATTTTTATTATATTTTAATATGTATGTATATATTTTTATAAATATTGTAAATACATATTTATATTTTGTTATATACACTATAACTTTATTAAATATAATATATATAATAAATATAAGTATATACTTTTATATATAATAAAAATATATTATATAATTATATGTTTAATATATTTATACATACTTTTATAAATATATATATATATATATACATTTAATAAATACATATTTATATTTTCTAGTATATATATATAATAATAATATATATTTTTATATAATATTTAAGTATTTATTTAATAAAAAAATGTTTAGTAAATAAATATAATATTTATATATTTTAAACATTTATTTATATATTTATATCAAATAAATATAAATATATTTTTTTATATATCATAAAAATATATTTATATAATTATATTTTTAATATATTTTTATAAATATAGTAAATAGATATATTTAATATATGTATATATATATATATATATATAATATTTACATTTTAGTTAATATAAATTAGTTGAAGAAAAAGATTGATAAAAATGATAATTTGTAGGAATAATAAGTAAATTTATATAAGACATTATATAAAAAATAATTTATTTGATAATAATTTTGATGTGAAAATTAAAAAATATAAATAAATTACAAGATTATGGATTTAATATTAATATAAATTTAATAAATATGGATTTATATAATAATATATTTATATGTATATATATATAAAATATATATATATATATATATATATATATATATATAAAATTATATATTTGTATAGATTTTATAAATATATAGTCTTTTTTTTGTATTTATTGATATTTATAGTCATGATATAAAATATTAAAAGATCATAGATTAATCGTGCATAATTGAAATAATACATATTAATATGAAACTCAACTAAATTAGAAATAATACAAGATAATTGAAGAATCATATTATAAATCGCGAGACAAATATAAATCTTGTTATTTTGCGTTTGTCAAAGTATGTACTATCTTCTAAGTCACAAATTATTTCATTAGATGTTATCCTTCGTATAATTTTAGTTTGAAAAAATAATTTAATATTTTCTCATGTTTGTTCACATTGCATATTTGGGTGTAGACGTTGTGTTTTCTTTTTCCAACAATTGATCATTTTTGTCATATCATCATTAGTTTTTATACGTTCTGAATTGTGAATGATCTTTTGGTTTCGCACCCGAACTGAATGACGATAGTTGATTTCAGTAATTTGTTTGTTATCTCCACAGTGAAATACTTGAGTAATATTTTCGTATAGTTAAGCAAAAGGTCATATACGTTGGATTACCATTGTTCTAGAAAACATGCATGTATAAGTAAGACTAAAATCATTTTGACTTTCCATGATGGTTGCATGTTGAACAAACCCACCAAAGTAAATTATAACTTCAGAGGAAAATATATTGTTTGAGTTTGCAGAAGAGGTAGAAACAAAGGATTTAAAAACATCATTATTTCATTAATGGATCTTGTATATTGAACATATAACTCAATGATAATATCTAAAGGAAATTGTGATTTTCAAGTGATCATGTTAGATACATCAATATCAGATAATAGTTCAATAGCATCATATAGGAGTACCCTATTACTAACTATTGCACAAGATGGAAGGAACAACATAGTCCCCATTCTTTTTGCAATGGTTGAAGGTGAAATTACAAATGTTTGGTTTCTTTTCTTAGAAAACCTAAGGAGATATGTCACACCTCAGGACAACTTGTGTTTAATTTCGGATCTCCACAACTCAATTTATGCAGCATACACAAGACTTGAGAGTGGATGACCTGAAGGTAATTGTATGCATGTGTATTGTATTCGACACATTGTACAAAATATTATGAGAAGATTCAAGAATGCAACTCTCAAAAAAGATCTTGTCAATTTGGGTAACAATTTCTATTATATCTAAGCTATTTTACTATGTCATCATGTTTACTTTATGTTAACTTTTATTACTTTAATATGCAGCATACACAATGACTAAGCCAAAAACAAATTATTACTACAACATCATAAGACAAGCTAATCCAAAAGTAACAACCTGGATTGGCGAAATTTCTAGGAACAAATGGACACTTGCTTATAATAATGGTAGAAGATAGGGTCACCTAACAACCAACTTAGCTGAATCCATCAATTCAATCATAAAGAATATAAGGAATATGCCAATATCCTCTATGGTCATGACCACATACACAAGATGCAACAAATTTTTCACGGAAAGAGAGAGACAAATCATAACAATGATTAATGCTGGTCATGTCCATTCAGAAGTTGCATCAAAGATCTTACAAGATGCTTATATAAAATCAAACACTCATAGGGTGCTTGAATTTGATAAAAGCAGCACAAGATTCTTGGTGGAGGAGATCGTCAACCTAAGAGAAGTTCAACCTGTTAGTAATTTTGTTGTTAGACTAGATGAAACTTGGTGTGATTGTGGGAAGTTCTAAATACTTCATCTACCATGTTCTTATGTGGTTGCAGCGTGTAAACATGTTCACCATAATTACGAGATGTACATCAATCCTTTTAACAGGTTGGATGTGGTCAACAAAATGTATGACAATTTGTTTGGGGAGCTTAGACACGAAGATTATTGGTCATCACATCAGTGTCCACAACTTTATCCCAATCCAGGAACAAGAAGAAGTTTCAAGGGTCATCCGAAGTCAACACGAATTATGACTGAAATGGATATCCGCGAAAAAGATCACCCAAAGAAGTGTTCTTATTGTCACACTCTAGGTCACACAAGAAATCATTGTCCGCATAACCCTAACTTTAGATGATCAACTTCTCATACATAAATCTGTTGTAGTTACAATAAATAAATAAATAACTATTTTACTTATTTGTGGTTTTCTAACTTACTTATTCATGTTTCATTGATTTAATACCTAAAATATCAATTCACTTTAATTTGAACTGTATATTTTACTCAAATTATCTAATTTAATTTCTATTTATACAAAATTTTAACAAAATATTTATACCAAATCTATTTTATATTGTATCAAAATAAAATAAAATTATTTTTAGTATAAATATTATATTTATTTACTAAATATATTTTATTAAATAAATACTTAAATATTATATATAAAATATATTATCATATATATATAAGAAAATATAAATATGTATTTATAAAATATATATATATATATATATATATATAAAAGTATATACAAATATATTAAATATATATATATATATATATATTTATTTATAAAAGTATATATACATATATTAAACATATAATTATATAATATATTTTTATTATATATAAAAATATGTATATATATTTATTATATATCAAATATAAACAAATGTTTTACGTATATAAATATGTATATTTATTTAATATATATATATATATATATGTATATATATATATATATATTTAATAACTATATTTATATTTACTACAAATATTTATATATTTCTATGGAAAAAAAATACAAAATTATAATTTGTATTTTCTAAAAATACTTTATATTAAATAAATACTTCAGTATTATATATATATATATATATATATATATATATATATATAATTAAGTAATTTAATAAACTTTTTATCTATATAAAAATGTATTTATTAAATATTTGAATATATAATTATATATATATATATTTATATATTATATAGATAATAACTTTATTAAATTAATTAATTATATATATATATATATATATATATATATATATAATACTGAAGTATTTATTTAGTATAAAATATTTTTAGAAAATACAAATTATAATTTTCTATTTTTTCCATAGAAATAAATAAATATTTGTAGTTAATATAAATATAGTTATTAAATATATATATATATATATATATATATACATATATATATATATATAAATATTAAATAAATATACATATTTATATACGTAAAACATTTGTTTATATTTTATATATAATAAATATAAATACATATTTTTATATATAATAAAAATATATTATATAATTATATGTTTAATATATGTATATATACTTATATATATATATATATATATATATTTCTATATAAAAGAAATACTATTTTTACTTACTAAAATTATTTTATATTAAAAATATATTTAAATAATACATATAATTTGTTATTATGTTATATAGAAAGATATAAATATATATTTATTAAATATATAAATATACATGTATTTATTATATTTATAAAATATAAATAAATATTTAAATATTATATATATATATATATATTAAATGTATTTGTATTTACTATATTTATAAAAATATATTAATAATATAATTATATAAATATATTTTTATGTTATATATAAAATATATTTATATTTATTTGATATAATTATATAAATAAATTTTAATATATGATATATATTTATATTTAATAAATATTATTTTTATTTTAAAAAATTTATTAATTATCTAAATCGAAATTCGGCTCGTGAAAGACCGAATTCTGACCATTTAATGAAAAGTATGTTATCTCAATAATATTTATACACGTAATGCTATATCTATATATTTATGTAGAAAAATTGCTGAAAAAAAGTCCACTTATTTTATTCAAAAACATCATAAAAACATGCACTCCCCTGCTCTTCTCCGCAAGTGAAAACCCTAGCCATTTGCAAGTGAAGAAAGGGAATTTTTTTTATATGGTATTTATGGAAATAATAATTTAAAAGGGAGTGCAGTAGTAGAGTTAGGGAGGGTGCAAATAGCAATTCCTTTCCACCTATTGTCCTTATAAATAAGTCTGGGCTTCACTCAATACATGCTCCTTTCTCTCTCCATTCTCACCAGGGTTTAACTTTTACGCTTAAACCCGCGGCCATGGCGACCAGGGCAGCAGTGGCGGCGCCACGCTTTTTGCGACGTTTTTTCTGCACAAACCCCGCCTCTTCTTCTTTTCCCTTCGTTTCTACGCCGTCTACGGGCGACGTCCCCACCCCCGCCCGACCGACGGCGGAGCCCAACACCAATCTCTTTGTCTCTGGTTTGTCTCTCAATCGCCCTTTACTTTTATTGAAATTAAATTAATGTTTTTATTATTATTGTTGTTGTCGTTTATTGATTTCACGGAAGTAGAAGGTTCTTGACCTGTGTCCTTGATATAGTGTGAATTGTGTGTTGGATCTATGTGTTTTGATGTAGTTGTTCGTGTTTTAGGTCTTGACGTGGTTAAAGCTTGATTGTTTGTTTATTCTGCTCTTTGGTTTTGTTATTCGTTTGTGTGATTCAAAACTTCCAATGAGGTAGACTCTTTATTATAAGGAGTTAGATTTTGTGCTCTGTAAATCTTATGCATTTGGTAAATACAATGCTGGAGTTCCACGTCAATTAGTGATATGGCCAAATAAAACTATGTGTGTAGAGCAACTTTGCTATAACCACCGGTTGTTTATGGGGTTGGATATCTCATATTGAATAGTGATATGGTAAAAAATTAAAAGGATATTAGTGGGTCCTTAGCTTAGAAGTCCATTTTGTAAGGTTAAGTCTATATTTTCTAATTATAAGTATCTTGTTCCTTTATTAATGGTTGTTTTAGAAGCCTTATAATAGGTGACTTGCTATGTTGTTGTATTGATGTGTATGCCTTTTCTTAGATGGATCGATTGACAGATATGAAACGTTTTTGGTCAAGAAACAAGGTTAGGTGTATCATTATATCAATCTGCAAAATGCATTTTTTAGAAATCCTTTTAATCACTGCATTAATAATGATGGGTGAGTTGTGTACAGATTAGATAGATGATATAAGGTAGACAAAGTCTCTAAGGAAGAAACATCCGCTACAGCTTTTTACTCAGCACTTGATAAGTACAATTAACCAACCCAAATGCAAAGAAACTTATTTCATACAAACAAATACCACAGGCATAGAAGGATTTTCATTGATTGATTGCTGTGATGGCATCCTTCCCATTTTGATTTAATCCACACTTGTTCTAATTATTTGGTTTACTCACACAAAATTAACATGTAAAACACCAAGTGTTAAACCACCATGTCATTGCTTTTAAATTTTGAAACACCTATTCCAGGCCCAATCATTTTTGCCCTTCAGAAATGCCATAGATCTTACAGTTGTCTCTTGTAATTTTTATCCCTCGTTAGGTCATAGCCTTTTTCCCATGCAATGTGGCATCAGTTTGGCTAATTCTCTGTCTCGTAATATCTGGTTGACTATCATTTTTAATGTATCTTACTTGTAGGGCTTAGCAAAAGGACAACTACAGAAAAGCTTCGGGAAGAATTTTCAAAGTTTGGGGAAGTTGTTCATGGTTTGTTCTCCACCTCCCAAGATATTTTAACGCAGCTATTTATGCCTTTACCTTTTGTGGTAATATCTTGAAAATATACTCTGAAAAGCAATGGTTTTCTGTTTGTTGTTTTCAGCGAGGGTGGTAACTGATCGAGTCTCAGGTTATTCTAAGGGATTTGGTTTTGTGCAATATTCTACAATAGAAGAGGCTGCAAAGGGCATTGAAGGCATGGATGGCAAGGTAAGCTAGAGTAAACCTCAAAGCTTACATCTGTATGGGGACTCAAATTTCTTTCAGAACATTGTCGTCGTGGATTTGTGTTTGCTTGTGTGTATTCATTCAAAATATGAATTTAGTGTGACAACCTGAGATAATTCAAAATATTCTTTCAGAACCTCAATTCTTAAATACCATTGCAGCAGTCTAGACACAAGTTAGACGATGAAAATATAAAGTTTAATAGTAGTAATAATCACTGTTTGAACACAGATTTTCTCATTTCCCACCCTACTTCACATGGAAAACAGTGATCATTCAACTCTCTAATACTGAAGATTATCTGCCTTTTACCCACCCTAAACATGAAATCTTGCGTGGATTTCTAAACTGTTATAAATATGCGTAGTTTGGCATATCAATTCTAAATGTGCGTTTCATTAGCAGTTTTCTGATGTTGTTTTAATGATATTTTTTTTATTGCCTTCTTCAACTGTGTTCCAGAAACCTTTATCTGTATTGTTCATCTGCACATATATGATGCTATGGTGACTTTGTTTTAGATATTTCGTGGCTATTCATGTGATGCTGACTGGTATTTCCCCAATGCAATGCAGTTTTTGGACGGTTGGGTCATATTTGCCGAATATGCGAGACCTAGACCACCACCAGGACAATACAACAACAGCCCTCAGTTTGGCCGGCAGTGATGCCTGTTTATCCAAAAACATTTTTATGCCTCATTGAACTGATTGTCTCAAGTACCAATTGCAAATTAAAAAGTATTATTTACAAGGGTATGGATGCTCAGGTTGTCTTTAATTATCTATAAATGTTCTATATTATTGTAATGGAAGATGACCCATGACGTTGTGATGCCAGATTAGATTTCTCCTCGATAACCTTGTGTATTTTGTGGTTAGGTTGGTTACTCCATAGTCGCTTCATTTTTGTACCAGAGTATTGATGCAGATGTCTGTACTCTATGAACTTACTCTGGTCCAATATTCCTTATACATGAAACGAGATAAAAACGGTTATATTCTACGATTTATAAGCATGTTATCATAATTTTTCTGGGAGTTTATTTGAGTTAATGCTTTCTGCATAATAACTGCGCATCCATTTAAACATGAAAACACACCGTTAACCATAAACACGGAACTGAAATTGCAACTTAGTCAGATGGTACCACATCAAAGAGTTGAGATGTTGTCGTGTTATGAGGCTTTTCTAACCCGATTATAGAGATCATTTACAAAACATTAACAGTAATATCAAGATTATCATTTTCTTTTTTTAATTTTTAAGTTTTATGGAAGAAAAAACGAAAGCCTTACGTTGTTAATGATCAGTGTCTCAAATTGCAAGCTAGTCAAATGCTGTAAAGATCACTAGATATTCTAACTACAGATGGATCAAATCAGTGAATCACCCTCCAACGAACTTGCCTCTACTATTGTGCCAACTACATACCTTTGAATTTTTTCAATGGAAATAATATGCAAAAGCTAACAGTATTAGTCCTGAGGATGTTAGCATTTACTGGGTACTTCAGTATAATAAAAAGTGAGCAGAACCAATTCACACACGCCAACAGAGAATAGTTGCCATTGAGGCAACAAACCACTTATAACTCACCAAAATCATGACTGAAGTTAAGACACTATAGACATGATTAACATGTGAGAAAATACGTATATAACAAACTTGGATGCAAATAGGTCAATAAAAACACTTAATATAGATAAAGATAGCTATAGTTACCGAAACTTGATCAATATTAGAATTGAAACGAGCATGTTTAGGATAGCTTTTCTTTTTTCAGTTCACTTTTTAAAACGTATTAGAAAAAGATAGTAAAGCATAATCAACTTGAAAATTTTAAGAAGAAAATCTCCCAACACAAATGCAAAAACTCGTAAAAGGAGAAGACATTCTTCCAAGGAGAAAGGAAAATATACCAAACAAGTGCAAAATAACGAGTCATAACTTAGGCACCCCATTTTTCTGACAAGCTTATGTTGCAAATTGCAAATTTTGCTAACAATTCATTATTATTATTTTTCTAATCTAGCATACCATTCAACTAAATTTCCGTAAATAGTACATATAGTACATTATTTCCTTTAATAACACAATTTTTATGAATGGTTAGAATTCGACTCGAGGGAAGCCGAATTCCAACCTTGAAAATTAATAGAATTTTTAAAATATAATAATATTTATTAAATATAAATATATATATATATATATATATATATAATAAAATAAATATATAAATATTATATATATATATATATATATATAAATCTATTATAAAATTTTATTTATATATATATATATGAAATAAATATAAATACAATTTTTTATATAACATAAAAATAAATTTATATAATTATATTATTAAAATATTTTTATAAATATAATAAATACAAATATATTTAATATATATATATATAATATTTAAATATTTATTTATATTTTTATAAATATAATAAAATTTAATAAATATATTATATCTTTCTATATAACATTTTTACATAAATAAATTATATATATTATTTAAATATATTTGTAATATAAAATAATTTTAGTAAGTAAAAATAATATTTTTTATATAAATATATAAATATTTTAATATATTTTTATAAGTATGGTAAATACATATTTATATTTTATTATATACATTATAACTTTATTAAATGTAATAAAAAATATATAAATATATATAATTATATATTTAAATATTTAATAAATACATTTTTTATATACATAATAACTTTTATTAAATTATATATATATATATATATATATAATGAAGTATTTATTTAATATAAATATTTTTAGGAAATACAAATTATAATTTTCTATTTTTTCCATAGAAATATATGAATATTTGTAATAGATATAAATATAGTTATTAAATATATATATATATATATATATATAAATTAATTAAATATACATATTTATATATGTAAAATATTTGTTTATAATAAATATAAATATATATTTGTATATATAATAAAAATATATTATATAATTATATGTTTAATATATATGTATATAATTTTATAAATATATATATTTATATTTATATAATATATATATATATATTTATATATATATATATATATATATATATGATAATATATTTTTATATAATATTTAAGTATTTATTTAATAAAAAAGATGTTTAGTAAATAAATATAATATTTATACAAAAATATAATTTTATTTAATTTCAATACAATATAAAATAGATTTGATATAAATATTTTGTTAAAATTCTGTATAAACAGAAATTTGAATTGGATAATTTGAGTAAAATATACAATTTGAATTAGAGTGAATTGATATTTTAAATATTAAATCAATGAAATATGAATAAGCAACGAAACATGAACAAACAAGTTAGAAAACTATATATGAGCATAATAATTATTTATTTATTGATTATAATGTCATATTATAAAATTACAATAGATTTATCTATGAGGAGTTGATTGCCTAAGACTAGGGTTATGTGAATAATGATTTCTTCTGTGATCTGGTAGAGTGTGATAATTGTTAGTATTATGGTGCTTGATTTAGTCCCACATCGATTAGGATTGTGAGATGAGGTTCTCTATTTTGTTATATAAGCAACCCTATGTAAAGTTTGAGATACACACAGAAATAAAAATTACTTCCTAGTGTAGTCGTGGACGTAGGCATACATATTTTAGCCGAACCACGTTAAAATTCTTGTGTCGTTTATTTTTCTCTCCTTCATTCTTTCCTTTATTATTGTCTTGTTCCTAACAATTGGTATCAGAGCCAAGGTCACGAGTTCGATTCCTGGTGGGCAATTGTTGAGGGGGAGATTGTTGCAGGTTGCACAATTGTCCCGTGGCAGAGGCCGGGTGGGCCAAGTCACAATCCAAGAGTGGGATACCTTGTAGGACAATTGCTGAGGGGGAGATTGTTGCAGGTAGCATCAATTGTCCTGTGGCAGAGGCCGGGTGGGCCGAGTCACGATCGAATCATGGTGCTTGGGCTGTTACTCTTAAGTAAAAAGAGTTGCGCTCTGACTAACGACTATAGCTTTTGGCCTAGTGGTAAGCGCTCGATCCTAACAATTGGTATCAGAGCCAAGGTCACGAGTTCGATTCCTGGTGGGCAATTGTTGAGGGGGAGATTGTTGCAGGTTGCACAATTGTCCCGTGGCAGAGGCCGGGTGGGCCAAGTCACAATCCAAGAGTGGGATACCTTGTAGGACAATTGCTGAGGGGGAGATTGTTGCAGGTAGCATCAATTGTCCTGTGACGAAGGTCAGGTGGGCCGAGTCACAATTGAATCGTGGCGCTTGGGCTGTTAAAGTAAAAAGAGTTGCGCTCTGACTAATGGCTATAGCTTTTGGCCTAGTGGTAAGCGCTCGATCCTAACAATAATAAGAGCATTTCTTTAGGTAACCTTCTTTGCGAATATCCATTTCAATCCTAATTCGTGTTGACTTCAGACAACCCTGAGAACTTCTTCTTGTTACTAGGTTGGAGCAAAGTTGTGAACCTTGATGTGATGGTCAATAATCTTCATGCCTAAGCTCCCCAAACAAATTGTCATACACTTGACTACATTCAACTTGTAAAAATGATTGATGTACATCTCATAATCATGATGAACATGTTTGAACTCTGCAACCACATGAGAACATGGTATAGATGAAGTTTTTGTAACTTCCCACAATCACACCAAGCTTTATCTATTATAACAACAAAATTACTAGCATGTCAAACTTCTCTTGGGTTGACGATCTCCTTCACCAAGAATTTTGTGTTGCTTCTATCGAATTCAAGTACCCTATGAGAGTTTAATTTTGTATAAGCCTCCTGTAAGACCTTTGATGCTACTTCTGAATGGACATGACCAACATTAATTATTGTTGTGATTTGCCTTCCTCTTTCTGTGAAAAATTTGTTGCATCTTGTGTATGTGACCATGATCATAGAAAAGATTAGTAGATTTCTTATTTTCTTTAGGACTAAATTGATGGATTCAGCTAAGTTGGTTGTTAGGTGACCCCATCTCCTACCATCATCACATGCAAGTGTCTATTTATTCCTTAGAATTTCGTCAATCCAGGTTGTTGCTTTTGGATTGACTTGTCTTATGATGTTGTAGTAGTTTGCTCTTGGCTCAGTTATTGCGTATGCTGCATATTGAAAATAAAAGTTAACATAGAATAAACAAGATGACATAGTAAAACAATTTAGATAGAATAAAAGTTGTTACCCATATTAACAAGGTCTTTTTTTAGAGTTGCATTTTTTAATCTTCTCATAAAATTTTGTGCAATATATCGAATGCAGTACACATGCATACAATTACCATCAGTTCATCCACTCTCAGGTCTTGTGTACGCTGCATGACTGAGCCATAAACTCGGATGAGGTATCTGTTCGTGATGATTGAAAGTTGTTCATAGGGAGATCGATCACATTTTTGTAGAACTGTTTGTTTGAAATGTTCAAATGTCATTCTTTTATGAATACACGTCATGATAAGATTCCTCTACCATGCCCTGACACAGAATGTTGTAGGTGACAGTAAAAAACAATGATTAAGATCAAATCATCATATATTAATGGTCAATATCAACTCCACCTCATCCTATGGTCCAAGTCGTAGCATAAAGGTTATTGTTCATGATAAGATTCCTCTATATCATGCCCTGACACATAATGTTGTAGGTGACAGTAAAAAACAACTATTCATATCCAATTTTTGTGTTATTCTTCTTTTTACTCTTCAAATGGAGATTTGACATCACAAATATTCAAAATTTTGATAAATCTTATCTTGCAGCAATGTTTGCAAATGGAAAATCACAACAAATGAGGAAGGTGTGTACTTTCAATGTGCATCTCCTAAACTTTTTTGAATTCCACACAGTTGCACATTTATCATCCTGAAGGAAAAAATATGCATGTTTGTCTTTAGGGAT